CCTCTGTTCCCCGACCTTGCTCTGCCCCCATCAACCCCCCTTCTCTGAACTCTCTGTCTGCTGCACTGATTATGAGAATTGAGAATGCTCTATGTTTCCTGGGAGCGTCCCTCACACTTCAAGCAGCTAGAGGACAAGGAAGGTCTCCTACAACTTCTGGCTCTTACTGCCCCAGCCCAGTGGCATCCCACTGGGTAGGAGCTTATTAACGATTTGTGGAATGAACGAATAAATGAATGGTGAGGCATGGTTGTCAAATGATAAAAAGACTGGTGGGCAGCCCCACCTTCCCTCATGCCACAAATGCTTGTCCAAATGGGCAAGCCCTGGGCCCAGCCAAATCCTTAGTTGCTTTTCCCCAAAGACCTGCTCCACTGGCCCAAATTCTTCTCTGGACTGGCAGCTGGGGCCTGATACCAGTGAGGTCCATTCAAGTCTCTGGGGTTAACACTGGACCGTGGGCTATCCTTTGATGATGATCATCATCATGATGAACATTAGCGACTTTACAAAATGAGGACCCAATAAACCAGCGTTCAGTTAGTAATCATATCACTCCAAATTCTCTTCGTGGCATTGCTTTTATAAATTTGCACTTTACTTAGTTGTAATCAGGGATGATATTTAAATTATTTAGCAATTGGTATGTCCTCAAGGAGATGATAGCTCTTGTGTTGGCACAGCTTTTTAGAAGACCTCTCGTGTGCCTGAGATTAATCCTTCCACGGATGGGTCCTGGGGAGGAGTGATAGGGAGGGGCACACTCAGAGAAGTGGATTTTTTTTTTTAAAGATTGGCACCTGAGCTAACATCTGTCGCAAATCTTCTTTTTCTTCTTCTTCTTCTCCCTAGAGCCCCCCAGTATGTAGTTGTATATTCTAGTTGTAGGTCCTTCTGGTTGTGGCATGTGGGATGCCACCTCAGTATGGCCTGACGAGCAGTGCCATGTCCGCGCCCGGGATCCAAACCAGCGAAACCCTGGGCCACCGAAGCTGAGCGTGTGAACTTAACCCCTTGACCACGGCAGGCCCCAGGGAAGTGGATATTTCAACAGCTGGTGTGGCTAGCCTGCTGTGCACCTGCTGAACTTTATCAGTCTGGGTGGATTTGGAATGATTGTGAACCAAGCAAAGAGGGCTGGGAAACAGCCTGAAGAAACAGCAGGCGTCACGGCCAGAGGGGAAAGAGCCTGGTCTATTTTGGAATTAAAACTAGCTCAGCCTGGCTGAGGAAGAGTGGCGAGAAACGGGCTGGAAAGGGAGGCAGGAGCCGAGCCAGGCCACACCGCGCTAGGCCTCGAGTGACCAGGACAAAGGGGTGTCCCAGGACGCAGAATTTTCAGTGCTAAAACCAGGAGGGTTGGTTCCCCTAACTAGATGTCTTTTTGCTCCTGTTGGTGAACCAGCCTGCTCTTCAGAAAGACCGCAGCCCTTGAAACTAGAAACAGCAAGATTTTCCAAACAGACATGAAATCATCTTACACTATTTTTCATGAAAGTACTGATATGAAAGGTACTGGTTTTTGTTCACACTTAAGTTTGCATAAAGCTAGCATTTCTAAATCAAATTCCTTTCCCCTCCTTTATCTCAAATTACAATTTTGTGAACAAGAGACAGGTTAACTGGAGGTCAAAAGCCTGGGCTCTGGACCAAAGCACGTGGATAGGTATCTAGGTTTTGTCACTTCTTAGCTGTTGTCTTCTCCAGGCTGCAGTTTTCCTGTCAGTAAAACGGGATTAAAATAGTACCTATTTCGTAGAAAGTTGTAGGGATTAAATGCATTACAGAGAATGCTTAGAATAGTGCCCATACAGAGAGAGTGCTCTGCAGGGGGCACTATTATTATAATTATCTTCCCTCCGGGTCATGGCAAGTGTTTTTAGATGAAGTCAAGGCCCTGCCTGAGAATGAACAGTACAAATTTGTCAGGTAAGGTACAATTCAGAATTTTGTCTCACGTGACCCAGATAGGGAACACAAAAAGAAATTAGATTTTATTCACATCAGTCTAATATACTGGTACGGTTGTCCCTTGGTATCTGCGGGGAATTGGTGTCAGGACCTCCATGGATACCAAAATCCGCAGATGCTCAAGACCCTTAGCCGGCTTTCTGCAACCACAGGTTCCACATTCGAGGATTCAACCAATCGCAGACGGTAAACATAGTGCATGATCCGAGGTTAGTTGGTTGAATCCGTGGATGCGGAACCTACAGATACGGAGGGCCAACTATATGGTTATTATCTTTATTTTACTGATGAGGAAATTGAATCTCTATAGAGGTTAAGTGACTTGCCCAAGGCCTCATGGCTAAGAGAGAGCCAGGACTGCAGAGCCGAGGTCTGTCACACTAACAACACTCTCTTTTCAGTCCTCCCCTTAAGAATTATGGGCTACAAAGCGGGTTATCTACTATTTTATTATCTTTTGCCTTATAAACACTAAATACCATTCTGACATTTGGTCAGAGATCTTTTTAAAATTTGGTGTTGTAATCAACTTTATTGAGATATCATTTACGCATAGGATGCACACATTTTAAGTGTAGCGTTCAATGAGTTTTGACCAGTGTGTCCCCACCGCCACAATCAAGATACAAAACATTTCCATCTCCCCTAAAAAGTTCCTTCTTGCTCCTTTCTGGTCAACCCTCCATCCCACGCCAGGTCCCAGGCAAACACTGATCAGCTTTCCATCACTAAAGTTTAATTTTTGTCTGTTTTAGAATTTCAGATGGATAGAATCATACTCCATGTACTCTCTCACGTGTGGCTTCTGGAGCTCTGTATGTTTTGAGATTCATTCATGCTGTTGTGTGTAAGGGTAGTTGGTTCTTCTTTATTGCTGAATAGTATTCCATCGTATGGGGGGACCAGAGTTTGTCTATTCTCTTGTTGATAGACCATTTGAGTTGTTTCCAATTTGGGGCTATTATGAATGAAGCTGTTATAAACATTTGTGTACAAATCTTTGTGTGGACGTATGTTTTCTTTCGCTTGGGTAAATAACCAGGTATGGAATTGCTCAGTCATAAAGTAAGTGCATGTTAAGTGGCTGTTAATGGTTGCACCATTTTATATCTTCACCAGCACTGAGTTCCAGTTGCTTCACAACCTCACAGTGCTAAGTATTAGGGGTCTTTTTAAACATTTTGGATTTTATTGTTGTATTTTTGCTACTATTTTTAATACAAAAATCTCATCATTTTTAAAAATTTGAAAACAGTTTTGGGGCCGGCCCCATGGCTGAATGGTTAAGTTCACGTGCTCTGCTGCAGCGGTCCAGGGTTTCGCCGGTTCAAACCCTGGGCGCAGACATGGCACCGCTCATTGGGCCACACTGAGGAGGCATCCCACATGCCACAACTAGAAGGACCCACAACTAAAGATACACAACTATGTACCGGGGGGCTTTGGGACAAAAAGGAATAATAAAATCTTAAAAAAAAAAAAAAAAGAAAACAGTTTCTACAAAGGCCATGTGGGTGAGTACAGGCAAGTTTAATTCAGACATGTGCAGTGTGATATAGTGCACATGTGTAAACGCACATTAACATGTTAAGTTATGGGCTGGCCCGGTGGTGCGAGGGTTAAGTTCACACATTCTGCTTCGGTGGCCCGCGGTTCACCGGTTCGGATCCTGGGTGCCGACCTATGCACCACTTGTTAAGCCATGCTGTGGCAGGTGTCCCACATATAAAGTAGAGGAAGATGGGCACGGGTGTTAGCTCAGGGCCAATCTTCTTCAGCAAAAAAGAGGAGGATTGGCAGCAGATGTTAGCCCAGGGCTAATCTTCCTCAAAAAAAAAAAAAAAAAACAAAACAAAATAAATAAAAACATGTCAAATCATGCCTCAATTCAACAGGCACTTCCCAGGACTCACAGTTTGTCAGATCTTATGATCTAAAAGGTTGGAGGCAGAAGGAGGGCTGGTTGTTAGATTTTATTGGGTTTTACATTAATCAGAGAAGGCTTCTTGGCTGAAGGATCTTTTTTTTTTTTCAGAGTTTTGTGGGGGTTTTTTTGTTTGTTTTAATTTTTTCCTTTTTCCCCCCAAAGTCCCCCAGTACATAGTTGTATATTCTTCGTTGTGGGTCCTTCTAGTTGTGGCATGTGGGACGCTGCCTCAGCATGGTTTGATGAGCAGTGCCATGTCTGCACCCAGGATTCGAACCAACGAAACACTGGGCTGCCTGCTGCAGAGCGCGCGAACTTAACCACTCGGCCACAGGGCCAGCCCCTGAAGGATCTTCTGAAATGAGTCCTAGACTAAGGGATAGACAAGAAGCACAGCAACCGGCTCTCAGGCAGTGCCCTGAAAACCATTATCCTCCAGATGTCTCTAAACGGACAGCATCAAGGGTTTGGCTTTCAGAGAATCACAGAATGTTAGAGATGGTTTACAGCTGAGGAAAGGAGAGGAGCTCAGAGGAACTAGGTGACTTGTCCGACAGCATCTGGCTGAGTTAGGTTCCATTTCCTGAAAAGAAGGGGGACCTGGAAACAGCTCAGAGAGTGGTGCCAGGGAGAGCAAAGCCTGGGAGGGGTTCCTGGCAGAGGTGGTGCTGGCACAAAGCATAGACCCCACCAAGACCCCCATGCTCCCTAAAAGAAGTTTATAAAACTATACTGACAACTAAAACTTTTCTTTTTTAAAAAATTTTATTGAGGTCATAATAGTTTATAACTGTGAAATTTCAGGTGTACATTATTATTCGTCAGTCACCATATAAATGTGCCCCTTCACCCCTTGTGCCCACCCCCTTACCCCCCTCCCCTCTGGTAACCACTAATCCGTTCTCTTTGTCAGTGTGTTAGTTTATCTTCCCCCTATGAGTGAAATCATGTGGCGTTTGTCTTTCTCTGGCTTATCTCACTTAACATCATACCCTCAAGGTCCATCCATGTTGTTGCAAATGGGACCATTTTGTCTCTTTTATCGCTGAGTAGTATTCTGTTGTATATACATACCACATCTTCTTTATCCATTCATCAGTAGCAGGGGCACTTGGGTTGCTTCCACATCTCGGCTATTGTGAATAATGCTGCAAGGAACATAGGGGTGAATGAGTCTCTTTGAATTGTTGATTTCAAGTTCTTTGGATAAACACCCAGTAGTGGGATAACTGGGTCGTATGGTATTTCTATTTTTAATTTTTTGAGAAATCTTCGTACTGTAAAACTTTTCATTTTAAAACCAAATAGTTGCAAAAGAGTAACTTCTCGCATACTGTACACATTAATGTTTAAACAAAACTGTTACCTCACTCTTATAAGTGGATGCATTAGAATCTAAATACCAAAGCAATTTGATACTCTCCCTCATCCATTTAAAAAATATATGAACAAGCTCTACTTTAACAGCTGAAAATTTTACAATATTCATTTTCTCTGTTTCCATTCGCACTGTAATGCACATTATGCTTGAAAGTTTTTATTGATATATCATCCTAATTATTTGTAAATAGTCTATACATTTTTTGAACGTTATAATGTTGTGTTTCTTGATACTATAAGGCTCTTAACATTGTTTTCTTTTGAATGAATATATTACAATTATGATTCAACTGATCAAAACATAAATATATTACACATTTTCATAATAATTACACATAAAAAGTAAAATTATATTAGAAATACATCCTTTGAGGGGGCCGGCCTGGTAGCACAATGGTTAAGTGCACACATTCTGCTTCAGCGGCCCGTGGTTCGCTGGTTCGGATCCCGGGTGCGCACACGGCACCACTTGGCAAGCCACGCCGTGGTAGGCATCACACATATAAAGTAGAGGAAGGTGGGCACGAATGTTAGCTCAGGGCCAGTCTTCCTCAGCAAAACGAGGAGGATTGGCAGCAGATGTTAGCTCAGGGTCAGTCTTCCTCAAAAAAACCCCCAAAACAAACAAACAACAAAAAACAATTAAAAAAAAGGAAATACATCATTTGACGAATTCGTAGGGCTTTTTTGTTTTTATTTTCAATTAGTTCATGTCTTTGTGGACAGAATACTTGAGTGAGAGAAAGTTTACCATCAGTTCTCTTCGGATATTTTGTTGTTTTGTGTTGACGTAAATGTGGAGAAATCCGTTCACACAGCCTGTTAGATGGAAATGGAAGGAGGTATATAGTACGGCAAGTTTACCTGATTACTTGACCCCCTTTCAAACTGTACACCAAAAATATTAGTGATTTTTTTTTCCAGTCAGCTAAAACCTGATTAAGTTTTCAAATCGTATTGAAATTAAAGAACTAGAAACCATTTGATTCACAAAGGACTTGACACCTGGTCTTTTTTTTTTTTTTTTTTAAGATTTTATTTTTTCTTTTCCTTTCCTCCCAAAGCCCCTCCAGTACATAGTTATATATTTTCAGTTGTGGGTCCTTCTAGTTGTGGCATGTGGGACGCCATCTCAGCATGGCTTGATGAGCAGTGCCATGTCCACACCCAGGATTCAAACTGCCGAAACCCCGGGCCACTGAAGCAGAGCGCGCAAACTTACCCACTTGGCCACAGGGCTGGCCCCGACACCTGGTCTTTATTCTCTCTGTGGGAACACTGACGAGAATTCCAGTGGTCTCTTGGCTGGGCTCCCTGGGAATCTGTATGACCTGAAGTAATGCCCCAAGGGGTGCGGGTGCACTTTTCTTTTGAGAAGTAGGGGCGGGGACGGGGGATGGGGACCTGCGGGTGGGGGGACACGAACTGCCCCTTGCTCCCAGGTGCCTTCTCCTGCTGGTCACTTTTAGGAAAGAGCCCAGGGAAGCTGAGGCTCTGGACACTGATTCCCTTAAAACCATGTGGTGCCTGCGCCCCTGGGGAGAGCCTTCTGCGCCCCTAAGGACAGGTGAATCCCAGTCTGAGGACTGCTGACCTGAGGATGCTTTATCTCCACGTCAACAAGTGTCCTGGCCCCTCCCGCCCGGGGCCTTCTCTTGGGCCACCCGGCCTACATCCCCAGAAGGTGGTGGGAAGAAGGAGGGTGGGCTGGGCCCATACATGCCTTGGGAGGGGCCTTGACGTTCATTCAGTGAGAGAGGGGATGACAGTAACAGGGAGGGGAGAAGGCTTTTTGAGAATTGGGGCGATTCAGGTAGGTTTGGAAACATCTGGAAGGGAACCAAACAGGAAGGAGAAGAGATTTACAGCCTCTTGGAAAGGGTTGTGAAGAGGCCGAGGGCCTTCTTTCCTTCAGCATGTTTTAACAGGAGCCAACAGTGCCCAGGGCCCTGCACCAGGAGCAGGTGTGCAGACACCTCTCCCTGCCCTCAGGGAGCTTATAGCAGAGGGCCCAGGGACAAGAGGAAGGGGGAGAGGAAGGGAAGGGGAAGAAGTGGTGGGGAGGAGGAGGGAGGGAGTGGAGGAAGAGGAGGGACAGGTAGAGAGGTAGGGAGGGGGGAAGAAGAGAGAGAGAGAGAGAAAGACAGACAGACAGACAGAAGTTACCAGGCAAGTGTAATGCAGGGTGATCATAATGTGGGACGATCGGCACAGAGGGCTGAGGGACCACCCCGAAGGGCCCTGATCCTGGCAAGGGGAGGACCATCAGGGAAGCCAGTCCAGAGGGAGCAAACCTCCAAGACCATACTCAAGTGTCTAGAGGGGCAGGGTGCACTCTGGGAATATCCTTAGATCAGCACTGAGAGATAATAGACCCGATGGAGTTTACCTGGCGATGAGGTGAAGGACGGCTTGGTTTCTTTAATAAGTCTTGTAGCTCTCTCTTTTAAAATGTATACACATATTATGCTGATTAAAAATTAAAGTTAAAAACAGATTTCTAAATCGCCCATGCAGAAGGATCCTGAGTGATTTAAACTTCACCCCCAAGGAAGCATTACCTCCCCCTCCGTAGCCGTGGGCTGTGTGCAGTGACCGCCTTCCAAAGAGGACCGTGTGGGAAGAGGGGAAGGAGTCACTCTACAGTGGAGAGACCTGACAAACACCACCTCAGCCGGGCGATCAAGGTCAACACCATCAGGGTTAAGTCACGGTGATGGTATGTACCCGTTGATATGATGTGATGATAATGAGACTTTACCTCCCAAAACCCTTAACCCCAGTCTAATCCTGAGAAAAGACAAATCCCAATGCAGAGCTTCCTACAAAACCCCTGCCCAGCCCTCCTCCAAACTGCCAAGGTCATCTAAGATAGGGAAAGTCTGAAATCTGCCACAGTCCACAGGGCCTAAGGGGACACAACTAAACGTGAGGTGGGATCCTGGAACAGGAGGAGGACATCAGGGAAACACTAAGGACATCTGAAGCATGGACTTTAGTTAATAATAATGCTTCAGTATTGGTTCACTAATTTTAACTAACGTAAGATGTCCGTAGTAAGGGAAACTGGAGCGAGGTTTCTGGAAACTCTCACTATCTTCTCTACTATCTTCTCTACTACCTTCTCACTTTTTCTGTAAATCTAAACCCATACTCAGAAAGAAAGTCTACTTTTAAAAACCGAATGACTCACTTAAATCAAGCAAATCATTCCTTTTGGTCTGGGTCTTCATTCCGTCAACAATTACTACGAACAGTTAACCTGTACTGAGCATTTTCTAGGAATAGGCACAGTGCCGAGTGATCTGCATCATATCCTATAATACTTACAGTGCTATCAGATAGATTTTTCTCATTTCACAAAGGTAGAAACTGAAGCATGAGAAAGCTCGTTTTTGCAATTCTCTTGTAAATATGTATTAGTGAGTTAGTGACTGCCCCCGTGGGGGTCTCACGTGCAACTGTCCAGACTGGGCTCAGTCCTGTGACATCTGCACCGCCCCCGACCCCAGCTCTTCCTCCTCCTGGAAGGTGGTGACACTGCACCATTGGCCAGGTCTCCCCAGGAGTTGTCCTGCACTCCCTGCCCCCAACCCCGCACATCTAACTTGATGCTAAGTCCAGTGGACCCCTCCTCAGAAATGTCTCCCCGGAGTCTTCCTAGTCTAATCTCTCTTTCTCTGGGTTGGGCTCTCACCTCCTCTCTGCTTCTGCCCGAGGTCTCATCCTCTCTGATGGGGACTCCACCCAAGCCACCATCCATCCTTCTAGAGGCCGCATCTGATGATCTCATCCCCAAACAAAGCCTTCTGGTGGCCCTGTCAATAACTTTCACAATCTGGCCACAGCTGGGTCCACTGCCCTCCCCCCACGGGCTCCAGCTTTCCCCCTAGACTTCATATTGATTGCAGGTCTTTGCTCCTGGTTCTCTTGAGTCCTCCCTAATGCCTCCCTTTTTTTGCCCTTGGAAATTGTACATGCCCTTCAAGTGTTAGTTCACCTGGTTTCGTACACCAATCCTCTTTCTCTGTGGCCCAGCCCTTACTCTCCTGGCAGCTGCCACATGGATTCTGAGGGTTAAGAGCTCGTGGTTCTGTAGCTCCAGCTGTGAGTTCCCTAAGGCACCGGTGTATTCCTGTGCTCAGGAATGTTTAGGTTATTCCCCACAATCAGCATCTGTGATATCAAAGCAAAATGCCCACGCTTCATAATTAGGTGACAGTAAGTGGCCCGGACAAGAAAAGCCATGGCAGTTCTGAGGGGCAAGTTGTGGTCTAGAGAGGTTTCCCGGAGGAGGTGGACTTGAGGGTAATTATCAGATTAAAGCCGCATTTAGAGTTTATTGAGCACATGCTCTATGTTTGACGTTAGGCTATAGCAATGAGCTTTCACCTAGATCACCTCATTTACTCTTCAACACAGACGTACTAACTAAGTATCGTTATATCATTTCTGTAGATGAGGAAACTGAAGCTAAGAGCATCATATGTGCCATGTCACAGCTAGTGAGTAACTGGGCCGGGACAGGACAGCTGGTCTCTGGCTCTTACTCCAAAGTCCAGCCTAAGGATTGAAGAATGACGATGTGGAGGAGTACTGCCATAATCAATTCAACAGGAAGGATGGACTGAGTCTGTAGCAAGCGAGGCCCACTTAAGCCCCACCCCATACATCCCAGAGAGCAGTGGTACTCAAGAGGGAGGCTTTGGGGATAGCAAGGAGGTGGCTGGAAGAATTCTGTGTCCCTGAGACATCCCTCCTATGCTGGGACCCGCTCCATGCAGAGGGACACTCTGCAAAGTCCAGACCTGAAGAATCACCTGTACCCCCCTCCCTCAGCTTACATCCGGAGCGTGGGCATTGTGGTGGTGAACGCTTCAGCATCTGCTTGGATTTGAATATTGCCTCCTTCCCCACTTCCTGGTCAGATGACCTTGGACAAATTGCTCCACCATTCTGAACTTCAGCATCCGCTTTTGTAATGTGGGGGAAAGAGCAGTGCCTACTTCACAGCGTTAGTGTGAGGGTAAAATGAAATAATGAATATTAGGAACTTAGTGTGGGTCTTGGCACATTGTTGTACTCAGTAAAGGTACCTTTTATGATTATCTGACCTTTGCCTGGACCTAATGCAATCCGCAGGTGATCTGGGGTGGAGCCTTATGCACGGAGCAGGGCAGTGCTCTGCCTGGGATCACCTTTCCCAGGGCGGAAACCTCCTGCCTACCGCCCAGGTCGGCCAAATTCCTTCCTCGGACCTAGCCTGCAGGGCGTGGCCCCAGCAGCGTCGCAGGCCCGGGGCGGAGAAGCGGGACGGGGGTGCGGCGGGAAGTTATCTTGGATCACTTATCTTGTCGCCCTCTCCCGGGCCAGGGCCACTCCACCCAGGGGGCGCTTGTTGGGGGCAGGTGAGAGCCCAGTCCTCCGCTCCTGGCAGGGAAGTTCTGCGACAGTAGAGTGACCACACAATGTACGGTGCAAACCTGGACGCTTTTGAGAGTTAAGGGGGCGCTCTTAGTCATTACGCGGGTGCTTCCCGTTAAAGCCAGGACAGCGGTGACCCTGGCCAAGAGCCTTCCACTTTAGCAAGATAGATCCCATGGGCCCCAGAAGGAAACAGACTCCGTCGGGGTCGCCGAGGCTGGTGGAAGAAGGAAAGCCAACCGCAGTCGGCACCGGAACCCTCGCAGTTCTGCCACTTAGGACTCCTCATGTGCCTCCAACATCACTTGTCCCTTGTTCCTCCTAGGCTTTGCCGGTATTTGTTCCCCGCTCCTCCGAGCTCCCACAGCGCTGTGGCCACGTCCCTGTTTACGCCCCACGAGGGCAGAGATTTTTGTCTCTACCGTGCTCCCAGAGCCAGGAAAAGTGCCTGGCACAGAGCGTGCGCTCACTTGTGGAACCAGTGTGCTTCCTATCGCTTTTCTAGCATTAAGTACCTATTACTGGCCCATCGTCCCTGCTGGATTATGACCTTCAAGGACGGTATTGTACTTATCTCTGTGACCCCAGCACCTAGCCCAAGGCCAGGCACAGAGTAACTGCTCAACACCATTTTGGTTAATGAGCGAATGGAAGTGGCCAAGCACTCCTTAGCGGTGCCTCATGATCTCTGCCTCCTCTCTGTCTCCCCTCACACAGAGGAAGCATTACGGAGCAAGCTAGAAGCAGATTAAGAAGCACATGGCTTCCCGCTGGCCGGCCCACCAGCGCGGCCACTTTCTGGAGGCTGGTGGGCCCCTGGAGTTGGGAGGAGAGGCCAGGACTGCTTACCTGTGCCTTGTGAAGCAGGGTCAAGACAGCGATTAGATCGCGGAACGGGAGGTTCTCCTGCAGACCTAGGGCAGCGGGCTCTTTAGAAAGGTGGGAGCGGGAGCCAGACAGGGAGGCTGAGCGGTCCATCTGAGAGAGGGAGGGAAGCCTGGGCATGAAAGGTGCTGGGGACCGGCTCCGAGGCTGCGGCTGGACAGCGCTGGGCGGGTTGCAGAGGGGGCTGAGGAAGCCGACATTGCCGCCTAGTGTCAAGGCCGGGAACTGCAGCAGGGTCTGGAGGGAGGGGCTGGCGTTCCGCAGGGCCGGCTCTCCACCCCGCTCGCCTCCAGGTCGGAAGCGTTCAGGGCTCCGCCCCCAGGCCGAGCCCTGCCCCAGGCCGAGCCCTGCCGCAGCGCTCCCGGCTCCCGCCAGCCAGCGCAGACTGGGCCCCGGCCCCGCCCCCGCAGGTCGCACCACGCCTCCGGGGGGCCGGCGGGGCGACGTTCCCGCACGAGCGTGCGTGGGGGGGAGGGGAGAGAACCCGGAAGTTACGTAATAGGCGCGCGTCCCGGGGGCGGGAGTCAGCTGAGCTGCCGGGGCGAGGTTGGGACCGCCTGCATCGGCGGAGGGGAGCCGGTGGTCTCTTGGGGGAGGGAGCAGGGTGCAGAACTGCGCCACGTTTAAGGGGGCGGGCCCGCCGGTCTTCCCGCTCTATAAGGCAAGAGGGAGAAGATCCTCAGGGTTTTAAAGGGGGAGGAGTCGGCGGCGGAGTGGCAGGATCTGTCAGATCCCTGTCGAGGCTGGGGAGCCGCAGCTTCTACTCTGGGGCGACCGGGATCCCTGGGGGGAACCCTGTTGTAATCCCAGAAGCCGGGCACCATGGCGTCCATCCTGGATGAATACGAGGACTCCCTGTCCCGCTCAGCCGTCTTGCAGCCTGGCTGCCCCAGCGTGGGCATCCCCCACTCGGGTAAGGGAGGGCAGGGCGCCGCTGCCCCTCTTGGCCCTCTTGGCCCTCTTGGCACCTGCGGGGGAGGAGCGGGGAGGGTGGCTCCGAGAGCTCGGTTCACCTCCTTCACATGCAGTCCGGAGCTAGGCCCCTGATTCTCTTAAGGCTCTGTGGATGGTCGAAGTTTGGAAGAGCAGCAAGAGCAATCGCGTGATCTAGGCCCTACACTTAGGGTCCTTCTAAGAGGGAACCGGGACCCAGATAAGGAAGTGACTTGCCTGCAGGGCCGCAGTTGGGAGAACTGAGAATAGGCTCCAGGTTTAACCTGGTTCTGTGCTTTTCTCGCCAGGCCCCTTCTGGAGGTGGGAGGAAGAGAGTGGGGGAAAGAAACTGAGGAAAGGGGAGTGTTGTAGGGGAGGGGGGATGGTCCTGGAGGGAACTTTGTCACTGAACAGGGAAAAATGAAGTGTTTTAGGCCTTTTCTAGAGCTGGGTGCAGCCTGGAGTTGAGGGGAAAATTTGGTAGAAAGTAGTAGAGTTGGCAGAGGGGATGAAGTGCTGGGATATTTTGAGCAACGGTAATGGGAGTTAAGGCTGGAGAGAGAGCAGCTGCAGTTTGTTAACCAACTGATGGGAGGGTCCCCAGGGCTCCCTCTGCCCTTGTTCTCCTGGAGACTCACTGAGAGCATTACTGCATGGTCAAGGAGGAGGGGAAAGAGTGGAACTAGACTCTAGTTGAGCTGGGGTGGCTGGGCCAAAGATTGACAAGGGAGAAAGCCCAACCCCTTCCTCCCATTACCAGTGGGGACAGGTGCATTGTGGTGTGACAGCATCCCAAGGGCTCAAAGAATCAACCCCTCCCTGCTGTCAGAAGTGTGGGAAAAGCCCAGGACCCCTAATGGAGAGGTGATTGACAAACTACTTGATATATTGATATTAAACTGTTAACCAAGGTCCTGGGGTAGGAATATGCTGGGAAAGTGGAGAGGAGCCCTGTTTCGTTGCTGCCTCTCCTTGCCCTTTCTCAGTCTTTCCCACAGCAAACCTTTTCTTTGCTCCTCACCTGCAGGGTATGTGAACGCCCAGCTGGAGAAGGAAGTCCCCATCTTCACGAAGCAGCGCATTGACTTTACCCCTTCCGAGCGGATCACCAGTCTTGTTGTCTCCTGCAATCAGCTCTGCATGAGCCTGGGCAAGGATACACTGCTCCGGTAACTGAGGCCCAAAAGGTTTAGGAGTAGGGAGTGGATTGGTGGTGTTTGGGGGACTGTTAGCTCACTGGGGCCTTTCTTCCACTCTGGGCTGGTAAAGCAGTGGATTTGGAGTTTTCAGGAAATACCCTATCCCTTCCCAGAGAGAACCAGTGTAGTGTAGTAGCTAAGAATCAGATAGACCTGGACTCAGATCCCAGCTCTACCATTTACCAGCTGTGGAATCTTCTCTAATGTGTGCCTTCATCTGTTAAAGATAGTACCATCCCACAAGTTAGTCATATAGATCAGTGGAACTGTCTAAGTCCTGAAATAAATCCACTATAATGGAAATTATATCTCACTATAACTGGAAATAAAAATAAATAAATAGATGGAAATAATATATGACAAAGGTGTCAGCAAAATTGTTTATCTATCCAGAATAATCATTTGGGTAAAACAGAGCTAAGCCTCTTTTACAAAAATGAATTCTAGGTGGAATACTTATTTAAATATAAAAAATAATGTGAATATTAAAAGAACGTTTAATAAATTTCTATCTTCTTGGCCTGAAGGGAGACCTTCTTACGTAAGCTAAAAAAATCCAGAAGCCACAGGGAAAAAGGTAGATATATCTAACTACATAGTAATTTCATGACAAAATAAAAACAAAAAAGCACTATGAATTAGGTCAACACAAAAGATGGTGGGAAAATAATCTGTTTCACAAATAACTAAAGGTTTACATTCTTGTTCCTTAAAAAACCGTTACAAATTAATAAGAAAAAGAGAATTCAGTGGAAGAGGGAGGCAAAGAATGTAAACAAGCAGTTCACAGAAAGGGCACTTCGGATTTCCAGTAAAAGCTGAGAATATTCTCAGTCTCTGGGAAATGCAAATTAAAAAAACAATAAGATACCATTTTTTTTAACCCATCAGATTGGCAAAAATTAAAAACTAGTATATAGTGCTGGTGAAGGTACACAGAAGTGGACTCTCACACATTGCTGCTGAGAGTATAAATTGCCACCATGTTTTGGAAAAGTAATCTGGCAATGTTTGTTAAAATTTTATTTGTTTATTTTAAAGATTTTATTTTTCCTTTTCTCCCCAAAGCCCCCTGGTACATAGTTGTGTATTTTTAGTTGTTGGTCCTTCTAATTGTGGCATGTAGGACGCCGCCTCAGCATGGCCTGATGAGGAGTGCCATGTCTGCGCCCAGGATCCGAACCGGTGAAATCCTGGGCCGCCAAAGCAGAGCACGAGAACTTAACCACTCGGCCAGGGGCCTGGCCCTGTGTTAAAATTTTAAATACCTCTAATTTTGACCCAGCAATCCCACTTTGGGGAATACATAGCTATAAAAAGGATCGTACCAATTTGCAAGGCTACAGGTACAAGGAGAGTGATAGCAGTATTATTTATGGTAGGAAAAACTGGACCCAAGCTGAATGCCCATCAACAGGAAACTGGTGATTAAATTATGGTTCAGCCGTAAAAGGGAATATTAGTCAGTTATTAAAACACTGAGTTAGAGCTGTATCTGTTGACCCAGTGGATTGTTCATGAAATATCAGTAAGTGAGAAAAGCAAGTTACAAATTAGTATCATACACATATATACACAATATGAAGGCATTTTTGTAAAAACAGTGACAAAACAGCCCTATTTATGTTATGAGCATGGAGAAAGATGTTAACATCAGTTTTCTCCATTGGGAATGAAGTGTTAGAGAAGAAAATCATTAACTTTTTCTTTATACATCTTTTCAATTTGATTCTTTAATTAGATTGAGCGTGTACTTTGAAAAGAATTTAATAAAATAAACAGGAGCACCCCTCAAAGTTATTATGAAGATTAATGCAGATAATACTAGATTAAGCTCTTGGCATGGTGCTGGGTATATAGAAAGTGCCCAGTAACCATTAGCTACCATTCATTGTTCCCTTTTGACCCCAGCAATTTGGGATACCCCTGCCCATCTTCCCGGCTGCACTGGAGATGTGTGGAGCAGAGGGAAAAGACATCTGCTTAGTCACTGCTCAAAATGAGGTGGGGGAATTCTCAGCCAAGAGTTCTTTCTTTTTTCTGCTTTATCTCTCCGAATCCCCCAGGTACATAATTCTATATTTTAGTTGTGGGTCCTTCTAGTTGTGGCATGTCGGATGCCGCCTCAATGTGGCCTGAAGACCAGTGCCAGGATGTCTGCGCCCAGGATCCGAACTGGCAAAACCCTGGGCTGCTGAAGCGGAGCATGCGAACTTAACCACTCGGCCATGGGGCCAGCCCCTCAGAGCCGAGTGTTCTTAAGTAGGCCCCTGTGTGTGTTTCAGAGTGCCTTTGGGGATTGCATTCAGAATTTTATGTGTAGGGGTCATCCCAGTGGTGTAGCGGTTAAGTTCCCGTGCTCCGCTTCGGTGGCCCACAGTTGGCTGCTTCAGATCCCAGGTACAGACCTACGTACCGCTTATCAAGCCATGCTGTGGCAGGTGTCCCATATATAAAGTAGAGGAAGATGGGTGTGGATGTTAGCTTGGGACTAATCTTCCTCAAAAAAAAAAAGCATTTTATGCATATATGTAGATTTCAGGGAAGAGAGGCTATGGCTTTCATCAGATTATAAAGAGGTCTGTCCTTCTCTGGAGTGATGTTGTGCCTCTTATCCTGACAGCATTGACTTGGGCAAAGCAAACGAACCCAACCATGTGGAGCTGGGGCGCAAGGATGATGCCAAAGTTCACAAGATGTTCCTGGACCATACTGGTGAGTGGTGGCGGAGGTCTGAAGTTGGGGGAGTTGGTGCTGAGTGTAAGTCCCTGCCTTGGGTGGGTGGGATCTGGGGGGAGGGACATGGGGGAGGCTAAGGGCAATGGCAGCATCCTCTAGGGTGCCATGCTCTCCCCACTCCAGGCTCTCACCTGCTGATTGCTCTGAGCAGCACTGAGGTCCTCTACGTGAACCGTAATGGACAGAAGGTCCGGCCCCTGGCGCGCTGGAAGGGGCAGCTGGTGGAGAGTGTGGGCTGGAACAAGGCACTGGGCACTGAGAACAGCACAGGCCCCATCCTGGTCGGCACTGCTCAAGGCCAGATCTTCGAAGCAGAGCTCTCAGCCAGCGAGGGTGGGCTTTTTGGCCCTGCCCCGGATCTCTACTTCCGTCCATTGTACGTGCTAAATGAAGAAGGGGGTCCCGCGCCTGTGTGCTCCCTTGAGGCCGAGCGGGGCCCTGATGGCCGTGGCTTTGTTATCGCCACCACTCGGCAGCGCCTCTTCCAGTTCATAGGCCGAGCAGCAGAGGGAGCTGAGGCCCAGGGCTTCTCAGGGCTCTTTGCTGCCTACGCTGACCACCCACCCCCTTTCCGTGAGTTCCCCAGCAGTCTGGGCTACAGCGAGTTGGCCTTCTATACCCCTAAGTTGCGCTCTGCACCCCGGGCCTTCGCCTGGATGATGGGGGATGGCGTGCTGTATGGAGCGTTGGACTGTGGGCGTCCTGACTCCCTGCTGAGTGAGGAGCGAGTCTGGGAGTACCCAGAGGAGGTAGGTCCTGGGGCCAGCCCACCCCTGGCCATCGTCCTCACCCAGTTCCACTTCCTGCTGCTGCTGGCGGACCGGGTGGAGGCGGTGTGCACGCTGACAGGGCAGGTGGTGCTGCGGGACCACTTCCTGGAGAAGTTTGGGCCGCTGAAGCACATGGTGAAGGACTCCTCCACGGGCCACCTGTGGGCCTACACCGAACGGGCTGTCTTCCGCTACCATGTGCAGCGGGAGGCCCGAGATGTCTGGCGCACCTACCTGGACATGAACCGCTTCGACCTGGCCAAAGAGTATTGTCGAGAGCGGCCAGACTGCCTGGACACGGTCCTGGCCCGGGAGGCTGATTTCTGCTTTCGCCAGCGTCGTTACCTGGAGAGCGCCCGCTGCTACGCCCTGACCCAGAGCTACTTTGAGGAGATCGCCCTCAAGTTCTTGGAGGCCCGACAGGAGGAGGCTCTGGCTGAGTTCCTGCAGCGAAAACTGGCTGGTTTGAAGCCAGCCGAGCGTACCCAGGCCACGCTGCTTACCACCTGGCTCACGGAGCTCTACCTGAGCCGGCTCGGGGCTCTGCAGGGTGATCCGGAAGCCCTGAACCTCTACCGGGAGACACGGGAGCGCTTCCGTGCTTTCCTCAGCAGCCCCCGCCACAAGGAGTGGCTCTTCGCCAGCCGGGCCTCCATCCACGAGCTGCTCGCCAGCCATGGGGACACGGAACACATGGTGTACTTTGCTGTGATCATGCAGGACTATGAGCGGGTGGTGGCATACCACTGCCAGCATGAGGCCTACGAGGAGGCCCTTGCCGTGCTTGCCCGCCATCGTGACCCTCAGCTCTTCTACAAGTTCTCGCCCATCCTCATCCGTCACATCCCCCGCCAGCTGGTGGACGCCTGGATTGAGCTGGGCAGCCGGCTGGATGCCCGGCAGCTCATCCCTGCCCTGGTAAACTATAGCCAGGGCGGCGAGGCCCAGCAGGTGAGCCAGGCCATCCGCTACATGGAGTTCTGCGTGAACGTGCTGGGCGAGACTGAGCAGGCCATTCACAATTACCTGCTGTCTCTGTATGCCCGAGGCCAGCCAGCCTCTCTGCTGGCCTACCTCGAGCAGGCCGGGGCCAGCCCGCACCGCGTGCATTACGACCTCAAGTATGCGCTGCGGCTCTGCGCTGAGCACGGCCACCACCGTGCTTGTGTTCATGTCTACAAGGTCCTGGAGCTGTATGAGGAGGCTGTGGATCTGGCCCTTCAGGTGAGCAAATGAGGCTTGACCCCATCCAGGAGAGGGGCCTGGAGAGCTCTGGCCAGCAGGTACTGGCTTCCCTTGCAGAGAGGTGTTGTAGTGTAGAGGTTAAGAACATGAACTCTGAAGTCAGGGTTTGAATTCTGGTCATGCCACTTGCCTAAGCTGTGTGGCCTCAGTCTAATTTCTGAACCTCTCTGTGCCTCAGATAATTCAGCTGTGAAATGGGGGTACTATCATAGTGCTTACCTCATAGGGTTGATTAAATTACTGTATATGAAAAGCACTCAGAACAGTGCCTGGTACAAAGGTAATTCTATGTACAAGCTAGCTATTGCATTATGGTTGCAATTGCAGAAGGGGAAGGTGCTGAGTTCTGTTTCTCAAATCATGAATCATCTCCTGCCTTAGGATCACATGAAGTGCTATTTAAAATGTTAGTGTCTGGATCTGAACCCAAGACTTACTGAATCAGAATGTCTGAGGGTGGGGTCCAAAAATCTGTATTTTGACTATGTTCCCCAGGTGATTTTTAAATTCATTAACACTGAATCCCCTTCATCGTAAGTAGTTTTTACATAGCTGTGACAGGGACAGGTCCATTACTGACATAACTTCCTATCCTGGCCCCCAACCTTGCTTGCTGCCAGGGATCTGGGAATCCTGCACTGGGGCTTCTCCTCAGGCCCAGGTTCTCCCTGGGCATCTGTCTCTCCCAGTCTCTATCCGGGGCGGGGGGGACAGCTTGACCCCAACACTCATGGTCTCCCCACAGGTGGACGTGGACCTGGCTAAGCAGTGTGCTGACTTGCCCGAGGAAGATGAGGAACTGCGCAAGAAGCTGTGGCTGAAGATCGCACGGCACGTGGTGCAGGAGGAGGAAGATGTGCAGACGGCCATGGCCTGCCTGGCCAGCTGCCCCCTGCTCAAGATTGAGGATGTGCTGCCCTTCTTTCCGGACTTTGTCACCATCGACCACTTTAAGGAGGCGATCTGCAGCTCGCTTAAAGCCTACAACCACCACATCCAGGAGCTGCAGCGGGAGATGGAGGAGGCCACAGCCAGCGCCCAGCGCATCCGGCGAGACCTGCAGGAGCTGCGGGGCCGCTATGGCGCCGTGGAACCCCAGGACAAATGTGCCACCTGCGACTTCCCCCTGCTCAACCGCCCTTTTTACCTCTTCCTCTGTGGTCACATGTTCCATGCTGACTGCCTGCTGCAGGCCGTGCGGCCTGGCCTGCCAGCCTACAAGCAGGCCCGGCTCGAGGAGCTGCAGCGAAAGCTAGGGGCCGCCCCACCCCCTGCCAAGGGCTCTGCCCGGGTGAAGGAGGCGGAGGGTGGGGCTGCTGCTGGGGGGCCCAGCCGGGAACAGCTCAAGGCTGACCTTGATGAACTGGTGGCCGCTGAGTGTGTGTACTGTGGGGAGCTGATGATCCGCTCTATCGACCGGCCCTTCATCGACCCCCAGCACTACGAGGAGGAGCACCTCAGTTGGCTATAGGAAGGTGTCACCCCTGATGGGTGGGCAGGCAGTCGGGGGTAACTACTGCCCCCGCTTAGGATGGCCACCCCATAGTCGGTGCTCAGTCATCTGGAGACTGCTGGGCCATGACTGTGTTGAGGGCGTAGAATTATAGCTGTTGCCCTTGAGGCGTCAGCTATGAGTGCATTTTGCCGGCTGCCCGTGCTGTTCAGAGCCGCCTTGGGGCTGCTGTTATGCCGGGCTGTTAGCCTGCCTCCCAGTGGAGGGCCTGGGCCTGGAGAAGTCAGAATTCTGACCCATTACTGTCCCCCCTCCATCTAACAGCTCTCCTTTCCTTGTCCCTCCCCACACGCAGCCTGTTCACCTTCTAGAGTGAGAGTACCATTCTTCCTTTTTACTCTGTGCCTCTTCTCCCTCAGAGGTGTCTGCCCCTAGGTCCCAGAAGTGAAAAGACAGCCCCTCGGAGTCCTAGGCATTGGGGGTGGGAAAGGTGGTGCTGAGGCGTGGCATGCTCTTGTGCACAGTGTCTGGGGCTCCAGGGTGAGGCGTGCCCTGGGGCTGAGGGCCTCATGGAGGACAGTGGGAGATGGCGATGGGGGTGGCGAGCATTAAACTGTCTGCACTGTGCTGGTGGCTCTGGAGTTGATGGCTTTGTTGATGCTGGGCTGAGAGGTATGTGAGTGGTCTCCAGGCGGGGCTGGAGTGCCACAGGGAGGCTGCCAGGGCTCTGCATCCCTTCAAACCTTGGCCCTCACTCCTTCACCTGGAGATTTGACAGGACGATTTTGCCATTTCTGCTCGCTTCCTTGTCTCTCCATCCTCTCTGACTCCAGGCTTCTGTTGGGAATTACGGCCCACCATCCTGTCTCGAGGTCGAGACTGTTCTTCCCTCTGGCCAGCAGGTGGTGCTGCTCCCCACAGAATCCTCCGCACTCAGGCAGCTCGGGGCGCTGATTTCTCAAGTCACCTTCTCCACTAGAGCTTCCTCAGTCTGGTCCCTCCCTAGTTGTCCCAAGAATTTTCTGGGAGTCTCCACTGCCTAACCAGAAATCTCATTCTTCCTCCCGCTACTCGCCCTTAGCATGCTGGATTTTCCTTGCCCAGATCCCTGGATCCCAGCGTTCCCAGCTGCTTCCTGGCTTTGATTCTGCCCTTGCACTCTCTGGCATTTATTGTTGAGACTGCCACTGCCACCATCCATGGCATTTGGAAGATCTGTTTTCTTCCCATCTAGCTCCTGTGACCTGCCCCTCCCCCCAGATTACACTTCTTCAGTTGTAGCTGGAGGCTAAGCCCTAGGGAGTTCTGGAGCAGGACCTTCCTGTGACATCAGCTGAGCACCCTTTGCACCCTGGACTGGTGTTCATAGTCCACTACCTGGCTCTCTGGGTGTGGTCTGTCAGCTGCCCAGGCTGAAGCAAAATCATGAGTGTTCCTGGAATCAGGCTGGGGTCAGGCCACCTGGCTGGTGACTGCAGGCTTCTTTCCCCTGCAGCCTAATCCTCTTCCAAAACTTGTCTCCTGCAGTTCTGGTGGAACCTTGCCCTGCCGTGCTCCCCAGCCACTAGAACAGGGTCTCTTCATGCACTCTGCCAACCGACAGGGCTAGAAGCTGCCCATCTTTGATAAGCCTCAGATTACCCATCCTCCTCCAGAAGCAAGAGCGGGAGCAAATGTGTGTGTGTGGGTCCCACTGGGTGAGTAGAGGGCATTCTAATCCTGCTTCCTTTCCACTCTTCCAGGAAGATTTGGAGGGCTCCTGCTCCTTTCCTCTCCCCATGGGGCCTAAGGCTCCCCTCACCTGCCCAGTGGAGGGCTCAGGGGTACTGCTCCCCACTGTCAGTGAGTATTAGGTATAAACCTTGGCCTGCCATTGGTGTGGTCACTTGCTGACTTAGAACAGCTTGGGGCTTCTGTCTTTGCGCATAATGGGTGCCTAACACATGTTAGTTAAACAAACACTGCCCTATCGCTCCCTCCTCTCACAGGACTTGGCTAAGACAGCCTGCGACGCCCCTGCCCCTTCTGTCCTCTCCTAAGCCTACCCATCTGGCCCTCAGCTTCTTCCTCTTTCCTGGAAAAAGGCCCCAGGCTTCCCTGGCACTGACAGAATGGGGTTCCGTTGAGTCAGGGCAACGGGAAACCACAGCTCTTAGATCCCTGGAAACCAAGCAAGGCCTGGAATGGAGGAGAGTGAGAAGGCCCTGAGGGCCTTGGCCCTAAGCCTGGGGGAGGGCCAGAAGGGGGTGGGGTGGGGGAGCAGCTGCGTGGGCAGGGGCCAAGATGAATGAGCTGCTTCTGGAGAGGTCACTGGAAATAGGAGGAGTGGCCACAGGCAGTGACGCTGGGATCAGGGCAGGAGGCCTGTAAACAAGGAAGCCACCTGGGGGAGAGCAGGGCGGCCACTGGTCCTGGGAGCAGGTGCTTCCTGAGGCCCGCCCTTGAGGGCCCTGGGGGGCCGCCTGGCTAAGTCGGCAGCGGGCACTAGGGGGCGCTGTCTGCTGGCTTCCCGAACTCCAGCTCTCTTTCACAGCTCCAGGGGGAGTGGCCATCAGAGGGTGTGCCGAGCGGTGTCTGAGGTTCGGCTTGCCCCTGGCCGTCCTCCTTTCTTTCCCCAAGGCACACGCCAAGGGCGCTAGCCCTGGCATGGAGGACGCGGGGCTCAGAGGCTGGCCAGCCTGAGTGTGAGCTCATGCCCCCGGGACCACCAATTCTCGCCGTTCCTGCCCCACTCCCACCCCAGGGCCCGCGTCGCAGGCCGGCTGCACCAACCCCATTGATTGGGAGGGGGCTCTGAGGCCATCAGGCTCCGGGCTGCCCTGGGCGCTGCCCCCCTGGCGCCAGGGAAACAAAAGGTTAGAGAGCCCAGAGGGAGTTATCTGGCCCCACCACCACCGGGGGAGGGAGAGAGGGCCAAGAGGGGCACACCTCCTCCCCACTCCCCCAGCTCTGCAGATTCTTCGAGACACTTTCACAGGCGGAAATTCCCAGAGGTCAGAGGAGGGAAACGGTTAATTCCTTTTATTCAATGGGTCCCCCCTACACGCCTCCCCCCAACTTCCTCCCTCCACTTCCCGCCCCCCCCTGTGTGAACAGGAAGTGGAGAGGAAAAGGCTCTGAGCAGAGCAGCTGGGAGCAGGAGGCAGGGAGTGGGTGCAGGCTTGGTGCCAGCCCTGCCCCTCATGGTTACTTGCTGGAGGGCCAGACCCACTGTGGCCTGGGAAAGAACCTGCAGCCCCGCTAGCTAGTGGCAGCAGGTCCAGGAAACAGCCTGGTGTCTGAGCCCCCTTCCCTCAGCCTGTCTCAGGTCAGTGGCTGCTTCACTGAGGGTGCAAAGCCTCGTCTGCCGGAGACCCAGCTGCCCTGGCCACTGCAGCCCCACCCCCACTGCAGGCTGGGCATCCTGAGGCTGGCAGGCATCTCTTCAGGCAGCCGCCGGTCCTGGCACTGGCTCCAGCCACTCAGCCCCTTGGCCCTGCCAGTTCTTTGAAGCTCATGCAGCGCTTCCTGTTTGGGGCGGGCGATGCCAGGGCCCCTCCCCCACTATTGTTCTGTAGAGACCATAGGTCCATCTGTTGCCCCATGGTGGGGCCCCTAGGCAGTGCCACACGGGAGCAGCACCACAAAGGACCCTGCTGGCAGCTTTGCTTACATGGAGCCAGGCTGGGCCCTGGAGCAGGTTGAGGATGAATGGTGGTGAGAGGCAGGCCTCGGGTGGGCAGTGGGAGAGAAAGAAGATGCTAGATAGTTCTAGTTCTTGGGCAGCTGGAGCCCTCAGCTTTCTCCTCCACCTGGAACATGGAGATGATGATATTCAGGGAGCTATTCATACTGAAGCCACCAGGAAAGGAACACCATTCTTATGTCTGGATTCCAGAGGGGAAAACTGAGGCAGAAGGGCAAACTTTGGTCTAGGACAGCCAATAAAAGAAAACGAAGTAGGATCCTTCTTTCAAGGGGATTAGCCCCTGTTCGCTGAACGCCCCCCGACTGGGTACTTTCCGCTCCCTGAACAGCTTTGCCTTTTTGCAGCTTTTGAAGTAGCCCTTGAGCTGAGCAGTCAGGAATCACAAGGTCATGAGAAGTTAGGGTGGCCCTAGGTTGGTGACCAGCAACCACTGAGAACAAGCCCGGGCAGGCCTGGCAGAAAAAGAGAAAGGGGCACTGGTCTGACCCCAGAAAAGTGGGTGCTGCTTCTGGTTCCCAGGCTGCCGTGGCCAAAGGTCTGTTTGTGTTTCTCAGGTGTGGAGGCAAGTGCCCTGTAATTCTGCAGCTCATCTCCTCTGCCGTGGCCTGATTCTATGGGTCGGACCTCTACCTGCTTCCTCCCACAGGGCTGGAAGCCCAGACATGGTCTACCCCACTTCCCTTGCCAGATCCTCTGGCCTCTCTTCCCAGCCCAGGACCTGAATTGCCTAGATCGCAGCTCCCAGAAGGAGAGAGCTGCAGAGACGTCAGATGGAGGCCATAGAGTGAGGTGAGACCCCTGCTCAAATAAAAAGATTCATGGATGTCCAATACCTGAAATTGATATGCTGAGCTTCCCTGGTGGAAGTTAGGCTGGTGGGGGCCCACACCCCCATTCACTGTCCTTTCCTCCCCCACCCCAATCTCTATGGGATGCCAGGATGCCCAGGACCTCAGTTTGAAAACCACTGAGCTGCCAATCCCACCTCCTGATTTTACAGATGCTGAATGTAAGAGGAGAACTTGGTAGCTGACACAAAGCTCCATCCAGGATCCAGTCCCTTCTCCACAAGATTCAGCATCAGTCAGCAGTGATCCCATGACCACTGGGAACCAAACGCTGTCCTAGGCCTTCCTTGTGCTCCCTCTCCATCTCCAGCCAAAGTGGGTCGAGCTGAGGGACAGGGAGGTGATCTGGAAAGAGCAAGTGCAACTCTCTGCTCTGCCGTGTATCAGCTGTCTGTTTAATCACATCCTCAGAACCTCAACTTCTTCACCTATAAAATGTAAATAAATAGAACAGACCTTGAGAGACCCAAGTGAAGCTTCAAGGAGAGAGGGCAGCGCATCTACAAAATCAGCCCAGGGCCTGCCCGCTGAGCACTTCCTGTCGGCTTGCTTCTCTTCCACTTTCTCTGAGCCTCATTCCTCTGGGACCCCATGACCCCTGTCGTGGCTCTGCCCTCAAAAACCCCTCTCATCTCTCGGGGAATCAGAGTGGAGTCAGAAGAAAGAGGCTTAATTGAGAAGGTTTTTCTGGTTTCTCAAAAGACCACGATTCTGGGGAAGAGAGGCTCAGGATGGGTATGAGAGAGGAAGCCCTCAGGCATATAGAATATGGCCGCAGAGGGACAGGAGTGTTACCTTGGGGGGGCGGAGTCCTGCTTTCCTGGAGGAGAGTGGGCGAGTGGGCACTACTCCAGCTCCAGAGCATGGATCGGATAGGCCGGGCGGGGGCTGGGCCAGGCGTGGCTCTTCTGCCAGCCTGCCCTCATGGTCCAGCCCAGAACTTGCACAACAGCCTGGCTTGCTGGCTGCCTGTTTGGCTGGCAGTCCCCTGGGAACCTTAGGAAGTCCCCCTTGTCCTCCCCTTGACCTTTGACCCCTTAGGCCTGCTACAGGCCAGAATTCCAGGCAGTTGTCCTCTCTTTTACCTTCTGTTCCTGGCCATTTCCCTTTAAGCCTGGGACTAGGAGACACCCCAAACCCCTACCTTATAGCTCATCCTTTCACATGCTCTCAGGTACAGACCCACTGGGGCCTCCCCTGGGACAGCTCCCTATGTGAGCCAGTGGGGACCCTCGGCCACAAGCCAGCAGGACCCTTGGAGTCTAGCTATCTGGAGGGCCCAAGCCTTTCAGGAGAGCCCCCACCACCACCAAGTGCTCCTGACACCAGACATCCGCCCAGGTGCCCTGCCCAACTCCATCCCTGTCCCAAAGCCCAGCGGGTGAAGCCAGGAACAGCAGACAGAACCTCCCCATCTCCCTCCATCCTCTGAGCAGTTGAAGTCCGAAGAACCCTTGATACTGTTCTACATTAAACCGTGCTGCGCCTCACCGCCCTCAGTTTCACAATCAAATAATTCCCTTTGGTTTTCTAGCGGAATTTTTGCTTTTATTTTTTAGGGTTTCTCGGCGTTTTTTTTTAACGCAATCAGTCTAAATTTGTCATCGCACATCCCCCATTTCCGCCCCTAAGGGCCTCCTTTTCATCCCCTGGAATCTGGAAACCATATGTGTGGGCAGAAACCCCCCAGCATCCCCCACGGCACCCTGGCCCAGCCCGGCCTCCACAGGGCCAGCCTGTTAGCAGGGGAAGAGTCTACACTCCAGGCTGGGGCTGGAAAGGGAGTTTCTCTTTGGACCTTCCCAGCTCAAGCCATGGAGAGGCCGTGTGGTCTAGTGGTTAGGGCTGGAACACATAGGTTTTGTCCCCAGCAATCTCTTTGACTAACTCAAGAAGCCTGGGAAAGTCCCCTTGGTACCCAAAGGACTCAGTTTCCCCACCGGCTGAGGGGCTCAAAGCTTCACCAGCTACCTCATCTTCTACCTGCCTCGGTAAAAAGAGTTTTTGATCCATAATTATTTGCTCTGTTACCTACTAGTTGTGTGACCTTGACAAACCGCTTAATCTTTCTGAACCTCAATTTCCTTATCTATAAATTAGAAACTATTATTGTACCTCCCTCCTGGCTGCTGTTAGGGTTAAACAGCACCAGGCATGCTATACAAGCTCAATAAACAGTAGATGTTATTGTTAATAATAAGTAGAAATACATGATGAGGGGGAGTGTGTTAGTGGGCCGTGCTCTGAGGCCCACCCTGTCTGCCCCTGCCGCTCCTGCTCAGGCTGCCCTCTGTGGACCTTCCTTGGGCCTCCTCTGGCTCTAGAAGGGGCGGGGATGCATTACCAGTCAGTCATTGTGGATCTCGGCTGAGGCCCTGCTGCTCTTCCCTGTCTCCATGACGACCCCAGCCCCTCCCCTCCTTCCTTCCTCAGGAGCTTTCTGTTTACTGTAAACAGCTGCCCCAGCTCAGCCCTCGCTGATCCCGCCCAGGGTCAGCCAGACCCTCTCTGAACTGGGGACTGGCTTGATGTGTGAAGGTCTGGGCACAGCGTCCTGGGCTCCACGCGTCCTTCAAAAGGTTCTGCCTTGCCACCTTGACTGGAAGGGAGGGAACAAAGAGAGAGGAAGGGCCTGTCACCTCAGACCAGGGCAGCCAGGGCCTCAGAGACGAGGAGCAGATGGAGCGTAATTGAGGAGGACCACGCTGAGAGAGCTTGGCAGCGAGATCTCCAGCTTGGCCTTAGACTGACCTGGGTTCAAATCCTGGCCTGGATTTGCTCACTGTGTGACCTCAGGCTGGTCATCTAACTTCTCTAAGCTTCACTCAGTTTATTGATTTGTAAAAGGAAGATAATAAGACCTTCCTCCGAGGACTGGTCACTGTGTCGACTGGTGATAATGCATGTACGTCATCATGGCATGTTGCTAGCCTGCACTGATGGTGGCTGGATTTATTGTTTCACCTCTCAGCTCAGATACTCTCCTGCCCAGGGACCTTGCATGAGTCCCTGCACGCCTCCATCCCACAAGCCTAATAGTGTGCGTACGTGTGCACAAAGCACATATGCACACACACACAGCAAACACATACGAGCCAGGAAATGAAATGAAACTCACAAGTGTCTGAGGCATGGGAGACTCTCCATGAAGGTGGAGAAGGAGTCTAACTGTTTCCTAAGCCCACACCTGGGCCTGAGCGGGCTGACATTGGAGCTGGGACATCTGCATGACCACCATCACCAGGTCACCACAACTGCCTACCTCTCCCTCCACTCAGCCCCAAGGATGGCACCCACCCTCCCTGCCCAGCTAAGCACAGTACAGAAATACAGGGAATGCTGTTATGGTGCGGCTCCCCTTTCCTGGGGGTCAAGCTTTCAGGGCAAGATGTCTGGGGCGTGGGGCTCCTGGCTCCCAGCTCCCGAGGGGCCCATGTTAGCTGCTTTGACTCTGCAGCACCCTTGGAAGTGCCAGCCAGCAGGGGAGACTCAACGGGTGAGATTTCCTGCCATTCCCCTTACCACCAGAACCAGGGTAGGCTGGGGTTGGGCAGGGGCATTTATCGATTTGAGTCATTCCCCACATGCCCATGAGTAAGTGCGGCTCTGGATTTCCAGCCCTTACCCCCAGGCCCCACCACCAAGATGCCTGTGGGGGTCTTCCAGGGCTGGGTCCCTGCCAGTCCCAGGTGCAGCTGATGGGGGGGGGGGTTCCGCCCTGGGCTCGGCTCCCTCCAGAGCAGAGAGTAGCAGCTGGAGGTTTGTGGGCTTAGCTGACTCTGCTGCCCCCTCAGTCCCTTGCCAACAGCCGGGCCTAACTCTGGAGTTTCTGTCCTCACCCCGGCCTGGGCTGCATGAGAAAGGAGAGGAGCCCCCAGTACTGAAGTCAGCCCCGTGGACAGGGCTGGAAATCCCCCACTTCTTACCTTGGCCAGTTGAGGAAACAGCCTCCCGGCAGAGGGCCGCTTCCCGCCAGGGACTTTTCTCCTGGGGGTGACACAGCATACAGGGCAGCTGCAGGGACCCCAGCCACACTCCAGCTAGCCTGGGGGCGAGGGGAGCATCGCACAGGCCCATTCTCTCCCTTGCAGGGAGCATGGCAGCCAAAGGTCCTAGAACCCAACTGGGGCTTAAGCAGGCCCAAGAGGGTGGGCAGGGAGAAGGGAGGTCACGGGAGGCAGTGGCGGCCAGGAAGGTCCACACTGCTGGCGGCATCCAGGAGAGTGACCAGGCCTAAGCAGTTCTACACCCAGAGCTCACCAGCCCCTCTTCCACGGCTCCCTTCCCTCACCCAGCACCCAATCTGAAACAGGCTTCTATAGGAGGTAAAGCCCTCACTAATCTCCTGGCTGGTGGTCTCCAAACTTTTTGGATTATGAATATTTATGTATAGATTATACACTACAGTCAAAACCCATATTGAATATTATAAGAGTTCAATTTATGTTTTAGATAAAAAGTAAGTCCATATAGAAATCCTCCTATTTCCTCCCGCCCCGGGCAGATGGTCTTGCTCACTCCTGCTCACAGCCCGTGGTGGAGCCCACCACCCTGAGAGGTGAAGGCAGGAGAGCCTCTCTCAGAGCAGACCATCTACCTTGCAGGAGGGTACAGGGTGTGGGGGCGGCTGGTTTTCTTAATCATCGCAAACCACAAACAATTGAGTCAGCCACATCTGAAGCCCTTCCATTTATTGTTGTTAACTTGAAAAGAAACTTGGTCATCTTAGGCCCTACTGCTGCGGTGGTGGTTCTGTGGCAGCTGCCCCCCGAAGGCCCAGGCAGCCTGCCCCTAGAACCACAACACCCCGGAGTAGAAAGTGAGCGTTTGTCAAGGAAGAATGCACAGGCCCGAGTGTGTGTGTGTTTCACATATGTGCACACGAGTGCATGAGCGCCTGGGGTGTGCCGTTCCAACAGAACCTGCTCAGTGACAGCCTCTGTTTTCTGGTCTGCTGGGTATGGGGGCCTCACATAGGTCACACAGGTAATGAGACACCTGCCATTAACCCTTCTTCCCCGAGTCATGAACCTCTGACATTGAATCAGATACCTTTTCTCATCCGTGTCCTCACACATAACCATTCAGGTAGGTAAGGCAGGTCTCAATAGGTCTGTGTTGGAGGTGAGGGGTCCAAGGCACAGAGAGGTGAAGGAATTGCCCAAAGTCACACAGCTTGGCAGAGCTGGGGCTCCTATGTGCTCCCCGTCCTCCCAGGGTGCCTCTCCTCATGTCCAGCCACCGTGCAGCTGTGGGGCAGCCTGCCCTTTTGCCCTCTCCCTGTCCTTGGAAATGTGGCCCAGCCCAGGGGTCAACCCTCTCAGCAGGGAGCAGGGGCCCCACAGGCAGAGGATAGGGGTCTGACTTTTCTGCCAAGGCCAGAGTCGCCCCCCCACCCCGCTCCAACTGGCCCGGCTGGCTCTGGGGCCAGAGCTTCCTCCTTGATCCAAAGGCTCAGCCTTCTAAGGGTGGCAGAGGGGGAGGGGGACGGAGAAGGGAGGGTTCAACCTCCAGCCCCCTCCCCCCTCACTGACAGCTGTAATCTGCTTGGGAAAATCTCTTTTTTTTTCCGCACAGGAAAAAATATTAGTTGTCCCGATAACAAGGAAAACAAAATCCAGTGCAGGGCATCAGAGACTTCCTGAGGCGGGAAACAATGTCCAGCGAGCTCAGTGGAGAAGCCTGAGCTGGGAGGCTTAGGGGGAGCTGAGAGAGGACACTGGTCCAGGCCTATCCGGCCGGTGGGGGAGGGGGATGACAGATCGAGGAACTTGGAAAAAAGATTTCCCCCCCAAAAAACCTTGAAGTCTGAGCTGTTGAGCTATATCCGGGAAATGATTCAGGACCGGCGCACATCCCTAAATGGGATCAGGCCCCATCAGCTCAGGTGCTCCGAGTCTCCCTCTCTTCCCTCCCTAGCCCCAGCCTGTCCTTCCGGGTGCTGTCCCTCAGCCTGGGGGGCTGGGGGGTGAGGCTGGAGGGTCCCCTCCCAGGGGCTTGGAGAGGCCGTGGGCAGCCCATGGGCACCCCTCCCCCTGGCTTCTCGGCTTGTGCCCACAGCTGCTTCCTTGGGTAACTTTCCACTGGGGGGGGGGTCAAGAAGGGGAGGACTGCTCCAAAGGCCCCACCCCCAGGCCTAGGGGACTCTGTTGCCCATTTCCCTCTCAGCCAAGGGCACTTACTGCTATTTGGTCCAGTGAGTGTGGCCTCTGAGCACTATGGGTGGGAGGAGGAGCAGGTGAGGCCCCAGGATTGAAAGCCTGGCCCTATGCTCCCAGTGAGCTGTAGTTCTCAGTCCCATCTGCACATCGTGTCACTTAGGGAGCCTTTAGAAAACACCAGGGCCTCCTAGGCCTCATCCCAGACCAATTGTATCAGAATCTCTAGGGAGCTGCTCAGGTGACTCTTGTGTGTAGTCAGGGATGAGAACCCCTGCTCCACGACCCTGTGACTCTGGTCACTTGCTGGCTGGTCCCCTCAACCTCTATCATCAGCACTGGCCCCTCAGTTCCAGATTGGAGCCCCTCAGAAATTATCACCTAGCTGGCGGCCTCCAGAGGTGCCTGCAGAGTTCCCTGCCCAGGTGGAGGCCAGCTGCCCAACCCAATAGCAGGTCCTGGGTTACCCCCGCCCTCCCTCTGCTTTCTCCCATCCCCTGGGCAATGATGCCTGGGGCCTTTGTTCTCAGCTAACAGGAGTGTGACCAGAAACCTACCCACAGCTTAACTGCAGCCCCATTCACTGACCATAGGCTGGCCACTGTTCACACTCAAGCTGCCCAGCTCTCCCACTCAGCATCCCCCACCCCCACCACAGCCTGCAGTCCAGGCAAGCCCAATGTAGCTCCTCCCTACATCCCAGGGTCATCGCCAGCTTTGTTCTCAGGAGGACCAGAGGTTCTTTCTCCCACAATGCCCTCAGCCCTTGCCCTGCACAAACCTAGGGCCCTCGGGAGATCTGGGCTCTGAGCACAGGGGCTGTGACTCCCCTCGGGCTGGGGGGGCCTGCTAGGGTGCTGCTGCTGTGCCATGCCAGATACTCAGCTTACCTGGTAGGCTCTTTGAGGTCAGAGACCATTCCTGGTTCAGTTTTGATTGTTTATAAGCACGTACCAGTCACCTAAGTGCTAGGTCTGTGGCGGTATGGGCACATGGAGAGGGCCACAGTCCCTCCTCTCAAAGGCCTTCTCAAAACGGAGCGAGGGGCTGTAATGAGCCATCACAAGGTAGTACCATTTCAATTCCTGGGAACTCCCCACCAGCACAGTGTAGGGAGCATTTGCAACCACTCCATAAATGTTTGTTGAATGAATATTTGTTTCATAAGTGGAGCATAGTATGCCCCTCCCCTAGTAGTACAAATAAAGGGAAATAGCTTAGGAGTCAGGACAAGGTGGGGTTCCAATTGCATCAAATGGGGAGGAGGAGGATAGAATGAGCTGGGGCCTGCAGCCTGGCTGACGAGAACTCATTAGGGTCCCTTTTGGCTCCCGGCTAGGCTTTTATCAACTGAGGGGACTTGCAAGTCCTCAGGGTCTGTCCAGACCTGTAAGTTCTCACCCTCTCTGCCCAAGTGGTCTTGCCCACCGGGAGCATCACCAGACATCCTCAGATGCAGGACCACAGAGCAGGCTTTTCCTTTCTCCTAAGGGGGCCTTCTTGGCCTGGGATTCCCAGGGGTCTCCCCTTTACCTCTGGAGGAGCCCAACCCAGCTCCCAGCCCCCATCACAGCATTTTCCAAACAGGTGGAGGATGCTGGGAACAGTGGCCACCTGGCTGCGGGAAAGGGGAAGCCCCAGTGCATGTCCCTGGGGCTTCAGTCCCCAGGGGGAAACCGTTGGCTGCTCCCCAGAAGCTTAGCCTCTGACCCTTGGCCTGGGCAGTGGGCAGCAGGCTTCAGGAGCTTGGGGTAGGGAGGCTTATAAGGGAGGGGCTGCCATCCCAGCTGCCTAGCTCTGGGTACTAACAGGCCACGCCGAGGGCAGCCGAGATGGAGGGGGGGCGCACCACCACCTGCTTTTCCTTGTTTTGTTTTCAGGGCACTAATTACTGTGCTGAGCTCCGAGCTGCCTAATGAGGCCGGTTGGATTTCCTGTTGTTCTGGCTTCCCAAGACCCTTAAAGGGCCAGCATCGCACTAGGAGCGTGCCCGGGTGGGCCACCAACCGATCTGGTGAGGGTGAGCCCAGAGGGGCTATCCCTAGGCCCGGCCTGAATGCCAAGGGCAGTGACAAGGGGCTGGTCCAGTACTTCCCGGCCACTCTCACGCCCTCCATGAGGACCTGCTCAGAAGTGCCCGCTCCGGAAGCAGGAGCTTCAGAACTCTGCAGCCTGGCCAGAGCCTGGGGTGGGGAGGAGGGGGAGGCAAGGAGGCCAGCGCTGTAGAGGAAAGGCTGGTGATGTCACCAGTGCCCAGACTGTGAGAACCGCTGTAGCAGCGGGCAGGAGGGAAGCGCCGTGACGTCCTGTTCCCCCCCTACCCTGGAAAATAAACACTTGTTGTCTGAGCAGCCAGCGCCACTTCCGAAGGGGTAGGCTGGCCGGGCGAGAGGCCCAGAAACGGGTCTGAGCCCAGCTTTGAGCAAAGGCCTTTGCCCAAGTTGGATGCAGAAAGGCCTGAGGGTCAGGCTGCTCCTAACGCAGCCACTCTATGGCACACCGCCCAACGGGGCTCACAGGAGGCATTTGTCCCTTCTGCACCTTAGGGTCCGTCTGCACGTGGAGGAGCTGAGAGCATGGCTGGGGATGCCCGGAGCCCCTTCCGTGTTGCTGCAGGCTGCAGATGGGCTGGCAGGGCAGGTGGGGGGCGCCCCTCTGCCTCCTGAGTCTCCCTCAGATTTGAGGCACAGCCTCGGCCCTAGGACCTGTCCCAAGTGCCCCTCAGGCTGCCTCAGACTGTGGGTCCCCTGGGCCCCAGAAGGCCTGGCCTGCAGCGCCTTCCCCCACAGACGGGGTGACGACATTGTTGTTCTTATACGGGGCCTTCCGCCTGGAGTTCCGGCTCCGCTAAATGGTGGGAATGAGGGTCCCAGGGACAAAGCCAGCCTGGTTCCCGCAGCCACCTCAGAATGGACGGAATCCCCATTGTGTGCGGGCGCCCCATGCCCGCCCTCCCCTTGCCCGAGCCGGACATGCCAACAAACAGCTCATTGAGCCCGGGGGAGGGGCCCGGGAGACAACAATGTCCCCCAGCGGGCCAGGGCAGTGAGCTCAGCTGGGGGTGGGGGCTGCCGTGGAGGCCGGAGGGCGATGATCTCAGCCTCAGGAGGGCCAGCCCTTGCGACAGGCTGACCTGAGCCTGGCCTCCCTGGTGAGGCTGAGAAGGACTGACCAGGGCTGCCCCACCCCTGCTGCCCCACCCCCCGGGCGGAGCTGGGAACCGACCCGTGCTTCTCACGCTTAACTGGCCCCAGCCCAGGGCGCCAAACAGGCGCAGCAGGGGGTCCCACAGGACCCAAAGCCACCCAAGAGGCTGGTGGACCCTCCCTCTGGCAGTGCCATTCCAGGAGCCCCCCAGCGAGGCCCAGCCCAAACAGAGCCCTCTCACACCACCAGCCCACACTGACCACAGCAAGACTTTCAGATGAAAAGGAGGATGCACTTTCTATAACTAGAACCATCTAAAGAGGATCAGCCTGGAGAGGGGGTGAGGGTCCCGTCCCTGGAGGTATTCAAGCCCTTAGCTATAGACTATGGAGTTGGTCTAGGTGCTCTTGAGAGGTCAGCTCACCCTGAGCTTCTAGATATAGGACCCCAGCTCATTCCCTCAAGACATGTCTGGACTCCCTTTGTGGGTTTCAGGCCTGAGGTTGGAGGAATCCTGGCCTCATCCAACACTTTATCCTTTTCCAAGCAAGTCTGAGCTGTCAGGTAGGGCCTCAGGCCTCTGAGGGAAAAAGGAGGAGGACTGGCTGGGAGAGTGGCATGGCCAAAGTGGCCCCCTCTCTCAGGACAGGAGCCAGGGAAGCCCTGCTGTTGGTTGTGTTGTAGGGCTGTCTGGAAAGCAGTGGGAGTGAGGAAAGAGTAGCTGCTGGCAAGGAAAGTGTGGAGCCTGTCTCAGCAGGTCATCAGGGGTCTGGCATTCTCAGGTGTCCAGCCATCTCAGGGACAGGACCTAGGTATTGGTGCACGTCTGGCCACCAGCCACCGACACAGGAAGGCTCCTAGCTGCATCTGGCCTTCCCTCTGCACCTCCCTGCTCCAGACCACCCTGCCCAGCACTGCCAGACGGTGGCTGAATGCCCTCCTCTGCCCAAGAACCACAGGTTCCCTAATGCCCATCGATCGAGTCTGAATTTGTCTGTCTGCTGGATCTCATACCCTAGCTATCTAACCTCACGTCCAGCCCTCCACATGTGAAGTCTGCTCCAGCTATACCCACTTCATTTCCACCCTGATCCTTTCCCTCTCTCCATTCTTCCTGCCGGGAATGCCCTCTCTTCTCTTTATCTAAGTTCTGCTCTTTTTTCCAGGCCCAGCACAATCCCCTCTCCCCCACAAAGCCTCCTTTGACCCTTGGGGCCCCAGCCCCTCTCTGAACCCTGGTTCCACAGGTCATCACGCTCCTTTTCATGGGCCTCGATTTTATCTCCACATCCTGTGGACATCAGGAGCTGAATCTGATATTCCTTTTGGCCACACCAATCTTAGCCCAGGACTAGGCATACGGTAGACCTGGTCCACAACTAGCTGAAGGATGGACCCAAACTGCGTATGCATGTGGGCTCACACACAGACCTCAGGAAGACTAACCATGGGGTGAAAAGCTCTTCTCCTGATGAAACCCATCTTCTGTCTGCATTCTTTTCTTCTGATGGCATTTTGATGGACTCGTCCCAGGTCTCTCCAGCTTCCTCCTTACCTGGAGAAGGGCTGTGGTAATGGGGGTGGGGGATCAGGCCACTTAGGGGAGGAAAGAAAGGAGAGAGGGGGGAGTCAGCCACAGGGTAACAGAGGGATTTTGGTGGCAGAATGGCTCCCACAATGGGAAAGTTCATGCTGCCAAGCAAGACTCATGAGACCGGAGTGAGAGGGTACAAAAGAGGGTTGAAGCCTATCTATTTTGAAATGTATAGAATTAGCTGAGGCTGTTACTGAATCTCCTGGTACCAGAGACCCCAAGTATTCACCATTGCTCTCCAGACCTTAAATTCAGCCTGCCCCTTGGCTGCAAAGGTTGCGTGGCTGGACAGCTCCATAGGGTTTGTTTATCTGAAAGTGGCAGCCAGAGGGCTGGGGGCAAGAGAAACAAAGTGACATTGGCTAACAGTGGCCTAAATTGTCCAAAAAAACTCCTTGGAGCTGAGAGGAGGCCCACGTCCTGGTACCTCCCAGACCTCTCTGGACTTCTTCCCTGGGGACAGTCTAGACACAAGGAGAATTCTCAGGACTAGAGGTTCTTTGCTAATCGCAGGCAAGGCAAGTTACTCATTAGCAAGCATCAACATGCAATTCTCATCAGCTCTAGGGGAGAGTTCAACCTGGATTAACAACTGGGATACACAGTGTAGACACTGTCACAGGAAGTTCTCCCATACGTCTAACCTAAATCCTTCCTGCCACAATTGAAGCCCGTTTCCTCTCATTCTGACTGTGGTAGGAGAAGGAGACAGCTGGTCACCATCCTCTGCTTAAGACCCATCACCTACTTGATCGTGGCAGTCAGATTCCTCCTCAGCCTTTTCCAGGGAACAGTGACCTGCCTGCTCAGGCAGCTGTTCACAGAGTTGGCACCTGTCCCCGGTTTCTTTCTCTGTATTTGAGAGTGTTTGAAACACAGTACTTCCTGGTTCAGGCCTGACCCTTCCTTCCAGGGAGGCTGCAGGGGACCACAGCCTGTCTAGTAACCTCCACTCCCGGGTTCCTGGGGCTGCAGAAAGGGAGAGGTGTGACCCCACCCCTATCTCTTGATTGCTCCAAGTCCTAGGAGGCAGCTGGGATCAGAGATCAGAGGCTGTGTGGACAAATGAGGAGAGATCAGAGTTTCTTCTTGGAGATGAGTTGGTGCTCAGTGGAGGAAGGTAAAGGGCACGCAAGGACCTGGGGACTCCAAGGGGTCAGAGACATGCTGGGCCTCGATACTAATGAAGGCCAGAACCAGGAGAGGGGAGTAAGGGCTGAGGGGAGTGAGGGCTGAGGCCAGAGCTGGAAGAAGGGAGTGAGGGCTAAGCGGGAGGGTGGAGCAGGGAGAGCTTCCCACCTGTCAAAGTTTACAGACAAGAGAGGTTTCGGGGACAGCTGCGCCATACGCTGGGGGCAAGAGGAGAGGACAGTGCAGGCTAGCACAGCTAGGGCAGAGGCTGAGTGGATGAGGAGGCTTCTGCAGGGGAAGAAAAACCTCAGGGTAGGGAAGCCGGTCCAAGATTAAGGGCCGAGGGGCTCAAGCCCTGGTCACCCACCCCACCCTGTCCTTCAGCACAAGTTGGCAGAAGGTTCTCTTTTGGCCCCCATCACTCTCAGTAGTGCCTTGCCCTGTGCCCTCTGTCCTCTAGCCCTGTAAGCCCCCTTCTCAGAGTCCTCTGTGCCCTGAGGGATCTGGGCAAGAGGGAAGGGCAGGCTGGGGCCAGGCCTGCAGCCTGAGGGTCTCTGTGCAGAGGCCTCCCTGAACCTTCTCTCCCTTGCCCTGAGCCTCCCTGCTCACTAGCTCTGGTGGGGACAGGAAAGAGCTAGGGAAGGGGAAGCCAGGGACTCTGGGAAAGTTGCCGAGGAGGCTGCCCTAAACCCCGGACTCCTCTGTGGCTGGAAATACCCGCTGTGTGGCTCCTGGCCTTGGCTTTCCAGGCATCCCCTGGGTTTGGCAAATGAAGCTGGGGCCCCCCATCAATGAAGGCCCTTGCCTCCAACCAGCAGGTCTCCACCCTGCCCCTCCTCTCTCTCCTTCTTTCCTCCTGACCAGCACACGGGAGGCCTGAGGAAAGCTTCCTTCCTACCCAGTTAAAAGGGGCTTCTCAGGTCAGCGGCCCTCAGTTCTCTCTTGGGCCCATTGTCTCTGCAGGCCAAAGCTTTTCTCATCAAGCAGAGGGCCCAGTCCACACCAGTTACCCCAGGTGCAGGCATCACCTACCCTGGTCTTCTGAGAAGGCGAAGGAGACAGAGTATGGGGCTAGCCCAGGCCCTCAGGCTCCTAGGAACCTGGAAGAGAGAAGGTGGAGGCCTTCGTGGTCTCATGAGGAGCCAGAGCAGGCATTCTGACTCATGCTCGATGGTCTCACCCACACGGACATCCTTTCCTTGGGACATTTGGGTCATCAGTCATGAGCCAACAGCCAGTGGACAGTCCAGTCCAGTTCAGTTTGTGTGACAAGGGAGGGCTGAGGCCCCTGGCTGCCAGGAGCCTCAATGACCAAGGCCGTTCAGAAGCTGACTTCTCCTTCCTCCTACACGCCCCTGCTCTGAAACACCGCTATCAAGGAGGAGGGGTGCCAGCTTGAGACCTACACTCAGCCCTGGCTGGAAGGTCATCTCTGGAAGGCCAAGGCCATGGCAATTGCTTCTTCCAAACCTTCATCTCTTCTGAACCCATTCTCATCCATTCTCAAAGCTCCAGTCTTCTCCCTCCAGTCAAGAACCTTGGCTCATCCCCTTCCCACAAAAGGCCCTCGCAGCTCAGGTTTTCCGCAGCGTCCATCTCTTTTCCTTGCCCCACCTGGCTTTCCTCTCTTTTTTTTCCATCCTCTGCTCCTCTTGCCTCATTGCTTGTGACTGTTTGCCTTCAGCTCTCCTTTGTCTTTCCTTTCCTCTTGGAGCTCATTTGCTGTGAGGAATCTCCCCTTTACTCTAGGTCTGCCCCTGGCTGTCAGGATGTCACCTGGGGGGAAGGAAATGAATGTTTATTGGGCCTTGCAGGTGCATGATCTGATACAGTTCTTCAGTCACCCTCCCAGGTCGCTGTCATGATTATGCCCATTGCACAGATGAGAAAACTGAGGTGTAGAGTTAGAGTTAAATTACAGGCCCAAGACCACATTGTTGGCAAGTGCCAAGAGCCAGAGCCATGTCGTGCTTATTCACCAGACTCAACCAGAGGTTGTGGAGCCATTCCACCTCAACCCTCCCCAGTTCCATCAGGGAGATTCTTCAGAACTCTGTCTCCGCAGGGCCCAAGCCCCGGGTCCTATCCCTTACTCCTTCTCACAGGGGCTCTCACATCTTATCATCAGCCACTGCATCCTGTTTCCCCGGGTGAAGCCCCCAAATGAGTTCTCAAGGCCACCATCAAGTCATCATTTTCTTCCTCTCTCCTCCAGCAGCCTCAGGCCTGTTCTATGGGGAACCCACTCTGGCCTGCGGGAAAGACCCGGAGCAGGCAGTTCCTCGTAGGGACTCCAGAGAGAGGTGGCTGAGGCCCCGCGGAGCGCCGCCTGCCAGCGGGAATCCCGGCGCTAACCGCTGGCGCCCCTCGAGGGGAGGGGCGAGGGCGGAGGTAGTTCTGCGGCGGCATCTGTCCCAGGCGGGCGGGAAGCTGCTGCATTAAATTGTAAAATCGATTTATTGACCGGCAGGTGCGAGCAGCGGCAGATGGAGAGTAGCGCTGCCGGGGCGCATCTGCGGGGAGCGGCGACATCGATTCTGGCCCCCCTCTGAAACCCCTCGGTCCTGGTCCTTTCTCGTCGGCTCGCTCCCAACTGCAGGGCCAAGGTCCACGAAACGGCGGCGCCTGGGCGGCTAGGGTAGCTCAGCTCCCTCCCCTACCCCCTTCTGGCCTCAGGGTCCGGGCTGCGCCCCCACGGCTGGCAGCCCCTGCCAGCCCCACTGCCCCAGTTGGCACGCGGCGGGCCGGGCTGACGCGTGGCAGCGCCCTGCGGCAGATGAGGCACGCGCCGGCCTCATTTCAATGTGAATGGCTCGAATGGAGCAGCCATGTGGCAGCAACAGTTTGCAAATCTCCCCGCCTTCTGTGCAGCTCCCCGGCCGCTGCTCCCTGCACGTGGCCCCTTCTCCGCAGCGACCACAGCGGCGCCCCTCAAGGCTTAAGCGCCCCGCCCAAGCTAGAACAGCTCGCCCGCCCCCGGCCTGCCTTCACCTGCCGTGGCGGGCGCAGTGGCCTGACCCCGCCGCGCTCTTACCTGCGTGCAGTTGGCCTCGCGGAGAACGCTGGCCCGGGGATGGGGAAAACGGCGCTGGAGGCCTCCGAGCCGCGCTGCTGGCCCCGGGGACGGCGCGCAGGCTGCCCGGTGGAGGAGGGCTCCGGGGCTCTCCGCGGGCCCCTGTCAACCCCAGTCACCTGGGGTCAGCTTGGAGGCACGGCGGCGGGAAGACAACTTTGGCGCTTCCCAGCCCCAGGTGCGGGTTCTGCCCGCTGGGGGGCTGTGTGCAGCGGCCGAGCGGAGAGGACAGCAGAAGCAGAGGGCCCCTGGGGCAGAGGCTGCAGGCCTTGCGTGCGTGAAGCCAGGCCTCACCCCTGCCCCGGCTCCGGACGCTGGGCAGTGTTTAGGGGGCCGGTCTCAGTGAAGATGCGTGGACCCTCACAGGGCCCATAGTCAGTCGGGGAGAGCCCAGGGGGGTCAGGCCTTGCAACACGCCTCCTCTCCAGGGCGTCGCCTAGCGTCTGCGCAGGGGCAGGGGAAGCAGACGTCCACAGTGGGTCCACAGTGGGTCCAAGCCCACTGTGATTTGTGGCCTTCCATCGCTTCACGGCATCCCGCTCCTGGGAGCCCCTGGGACACGTGTTGGGTTCTTCTGTCTGAAAGTCGTGAGTGGGAGAAAAAGAGAGGCGCCCCAGCTGTGGTGCCTTGCATTTCGGTTCCCTGCCCACAGCGTGGCCCTCTCCTGCTCCGCAAATGTGGGCAAAGCTGGACCCCAGCAGACTGGAGACCTAGTGGGTACTCGGGGTGGAGGCTGGCGTCCTAGCCGGGTATTGAACTTCTGGGACTCTCTGGGGTCACAAACAGGTGCTTCACAAGTGCCTTCTGTTAGTGAGGAGAACTTAACCCTTTCCTCCGGTCAGAGGATTTCTAGGTCTCTGGGATCCCTTGCATTTCCTGTCTCTGAGGATAATGATAATACTTTTGTTCGGTGCTTGACTGTCTGCAAAGTGCTTTGGGGCACATTAGTCCGGATGTGTACGACGGGTAGAGAGTGTTTCAGAGCTACCAGAATTGAGCGTGATGCCTCCCTGGGATTGGATGTCTTCCTTGAGGGTCAGGCAAGTGCCAGCGCCAGAAAAGGAGCCAGTTTTTATGAACTCCCAGGCCAGGATTTGGGCGTGGAAGCGGACAGAACTAGGTAGGGCTGGATGCCAGCTCAGAGGAGGGCGAGGGGCACTCTTTGGCACCCTAGGCAGGTCTAGGGCTCCATAGAGTATGGGCGGAGAGGATGGGGGACCCACTTGTCAGGATCGCTGGGAGGCAAGCCCCGGGCTCCCCCTCCCTCGGGCCTGGGGACTCAGCCTGCCCATAACCTACATTAACTCTGGAGCGCAGCCTGGGCCCATCTGCCGGCCCCCGCCCCACCTCGGTTCCCCACGCCAACCCGCTCGCGCCAGATGGTGGCTGGGAGGGGTGGCCGTGCGTGGGGGACCCCGGAGCCCGTCTCCTCACCTCGCCCCTCCCCCAACCCACGCTCCCAACCTCTTGTTTCTCATCCTTCCCCCCAATCCTTCGCCAACACCCCCAAGTCACAAAAATCAGACCATGCTCGGCCTAGGCAGCTGTTGGGCTCCGTGCCGCGCCCCCCCACCCCGGCCTCCCCCGGGCCCGCGCCGCGTCCCTGCTCCCCCCGCGCCGATCTTATCGCCCGACGACAGCCATCGCCATGCAGGCGGGCTGACAGCTGAAGCCACAGGGCCCCCGCTGCCCTCAGCGTCGCAGAGAGCGAGCTCCCCAGCACCCCCGAGACTGGGAGAAGCCGGCCCTCCCCGGTCTAAGGCCTCCGGGGATCGCGCTGTGTTCCGAGAAAGCAGCTGCACTGCCGCCGCTCGAAGTGGGGCCACCCTGGGGAGCCGCGAAGGCGAGACGGGTGAAGCCGCCTGAAACTCAAAAGAGCCCGCGCCCTTCCAGTTCCACCCCATGTCTCGCCCTACGAGGAGAGGACCCGGGTCTGCCCGGCCTCAACCCCTCACCTGACTCTACAGTGGCTTGAGCCAACTGTGGAAGCAGGAGAGTTCCTCCCTGCCCCAACGGAGCGACAGGACGCGCGGGCAGGGGTTTGGGACTGCTGGGGTGGGGGGAGACCGCGGGCTCTGGAGCTGAAGCTGAACCCAGGTGAGGGGAGGTGCTGGAGGCGGGGCCAGACCCTCATTACCATACAGCTGAGGACGCGCCCCTTTCTCCTACCTCGGGGACCACGCCCCCCACCTCCCGACCACGCGTCTAACGGCTGGCACGCGCCAAGCCCAGGCGGGGGGCAGAAGGGAGAAGGCACGCGCTGGACACGCCCCCCGCAACTAGGGAGGGAGACACCCACCAGGTGGAGGGAGGGAGCTCCGGAGTCTTAGACGCTTGGCCCCTCGCCTTGCCCCGAGTGGCCACAGAGAAGTTAATGCGTCTGCTGGCTTCCCTGCTGCGCCGGAGACTTATGGTGGGTGGGCGCTCACAGGTTGGGGGCCGACTAGGCGAGGATTCCCGAAGCTCCGGGACGGAAGAGATCGGAGTCCTTTGCTGTTGGTTTCGCTTTCTGGACTTAAGTTCTTTTTTTACCTGCTCCGGGGCTGCAGGTAAATAGCGTGGCTACGGACGCACCGCCCACGGGGACTCCCCAGTGTCTCCGCCCCCACGACCATCCGGGAACCACTTGCTCACCTCCCGCCCCATTCCCCCCGGCCCTCCCCCTATCCTCCCACTGCCAGGGTCTCGGCCTGTAACCCCGTGATTGCGAAGAACTGGTCACCTCCGCACGCTCAGAGCTGGGGGACCAAGGACTAAGAGCTGCATGGAGGGGCGGGGACCTGTGCCTGACTGGCTGGCGGGGAGGGGGGATGGCGAGGGCGGAGGCCCCCTCCGGGCGGCGCTGGGGCTGTAGCAGCTAGAGGCCCGGAGGGGTGGGGAGAGTGACCATGAGTCTGAGTGACAGGCAGCGAGGAGAGGAGCCAATATATATAAGGAAGGCTCCGGAGCGCACAGGTTTCAGTAGCGGCGCTGAGCGCAGGCTGGGAACACGAGGCTAAGAGCCGCAGCTCAAGCCGCCTCAGCGCAGTGTACCCGGGCACTAGCCCGCTTGCAGCCCGAGGATTAGCCCGAGGACACGTCCTCTGCGCGGCCACCGCCCAGCCGCCCTCACCTGGATTACCTACCGAGGCAGTTGCAGCGGAGCTAGCGAGGAGCGAGGCAGGAGGAAAGCCTTGAGCGGAGCCTAGCTTTTCAGGTCCCCCTCCGGCGGGTGGACGCGCGGGAAAGCGGCGTCCTGAACGGAGCCAGCTCCAGGGCGGGCGAGTGGACAGAGCGACGCCCCAGGGGATGGCAGCGGCGTCCCGTAGCGCCTCTGGCTGGGCGCTACTACTGCTGGTGGCACTTTGGCAGCAGGTAACGACCCGCGCCCTCGCTGCCCCCTCCCGTCGCGCCCTGGGCCTGAGTCCCGGGCATCTACCAAGCTGACCGCTCCCCTCCCTCCTTCCCTCGGTCCCTGTGCAATAGCGCGCGGCCGGCTCGGGAGTCTTCCAGCTGCAGCTGCAGGAGTTTGCCAACGAGCGAGGCGTTCTGGCCAGCGGGCGGCCGTGCGAACCCGGCTGCCGGACCTTCTTCCGCGTCTGCCTTAAGCACTTCCAGGCGGTTGTCTCGCCCGGGCCCTGCACCTTCGGCAGCGTCTCCACGCCTGTGTTGGGCACCAACTCCTTCGCGGTCGGGGATGACAGTAGCGGCGGGGGACGCAACCCTCTCCAACTGCCCTTCAATTTCACCTGGCCGGTGAGCACAGCCTGGGCGCACTGGGAGGTCACGAAAGCCAAGAGAAGGGAGTTCCCTGGGACCAAAGCCCTCTCCCCAGATTTCCTAGGTCCCCTCAAAAAATTGGGGCGCTCTCTTTTGATCCTTTCTTTTTGCTGGGACTTCATCCTCGAAAAGGCTCTCACCATTCTTCCTCTTCCCAGTTGTACGCCCCCTCTTCTCCTAGCTCTTGGGATACGATTTTCATCACCTACCCCTCCGGCGCGTCCCCCACCTCCGAATGACTCTCGCGTACATTCCTCATTCCTCAACCCTCCTCCTACCCCGGGTTCTCCTCTCGCCTTCCCTGCTAGCGCGCGATGCTGCGCACAGACCCGTTATGTTGACCCCGGCGCAGTAACTGTATCCTGCAATTAGACTAATTAAACCGGCTGCCGCGAGGCACCCCCACCTCCCCCCCCGCTCATCTCGCTCGCTCTCTGTCTTCCCCCGCCCCCTCCTTTCTCTTCCCAGGGTACCTTCTCGCTCATCATCGAAGCTTGGCACGCGCCTGGAGATGACCTGAGGCCAGGTGAGTAGCTCGCTCCTTCGCCACAGGGGGGCGCCACGGCACAGCGCCGAAAGAGTTAAGCTGTCATAGGCGGGGGAAGCGCGGGGTGGGGGGTGGGGGGCAGGACGCTAAGCTGGGCCAGGAGCTGCGCCCCGCGCTGGACGCTCGGATTCCGCCCGCTGCCTGGACTCTGAGCACAATTGCGTTTCCTGCGGGTTATTTTTGGCGTGGGAACGCGGGGAGCGCGGCGGTGAGAAAGGCCGAGGCTGCCAGCGCCGCTGACGGGCCCCTTCCTGTATTTTACACCTTTCGCGAATTCCGCTCCTTTGGAAAGGGAATAATGGCTTTGGGATGTTGTTCTGACACAGAGGAAAAGGATATTTCAGCAGCACAACAATTCTCACTTTGAAAAGGAAAAAGAAAAGCATTACCCATCTCTGAGGGCAGAACCCCTGAATGGGCACCTAAGGACCCCTTGCTCCCAGGGTCCTCCCTGGCTTGGAGAGCTTTTCTTTTTCTTTTTTTTCTTTTTTTTTTTTTCTTTTTTTCCATTTTGACCTCTTTTCCTCTTTCCCCTGCCTATCTGCCTCCAGAACACTGGAATATCTTCACATCCTTCTATTGTCCCCTTTTTGAATGGTATCAGGCCCCTTGCACATGCACACTCACAGGGCAGCTAAGCAGTGGGACCTTTGGGTTCCTTTGGCCTGTGCTTGCTGGCAGGTGGGGGTCATCTGGACAGCTGGTTTGATCCAGTAGTTGCTGGCACTCTCGGGGACTGGCTGCCCTTCCTTGACCTGGCCCTCTGCCCCTTCAGAGGCCTTGACACCAGACGCGCTCATCAGCAAGATCGCCATCCAGGGCTCCCTAGCTGTGGGTCAGAACTGGTTACTGGATGAGCAGACCAGCCTCCTCACAAGGCTGCGCTACTCTTACCGGGTCATCTGCAGTGACAACTACTATGGGGACAGCTGCTCACGCCTGTGCAAGAAGCGCAATGACCACTTCGGCCACTACGTGTGCCAGCCAGATGGCAGCCTGTCCTGCCTGCCCGGCTGGACTGGGGAGTACTGCGAACAGCGTAAGCAGCCAAGCTCCCACCTGCCTGGAGGGGGGGTCCCCTGAGCAAACACAGTGGCGTCTTCTTGGCCACAGCCTGCCTCTCTTGCAGAGCTGGTCCGGGCTGCCCACTAGCTGGACCTCAGGAACAGCTGGGGATGCTTAGGATGGGCTTGAACTCTGACCTTGTCTCTTCTTAGTGCTCCTCCCCATCATACCAAACCCCCAAGGATCCCATTATTGCATCCATCCAGCCTGGATTCTCCTTCCCTGTGCCACTGTTTCCCTTTAAGACACCCACGACTCCTTTGGGAGGCCAGGAGTGGGAAGTGAGCCCAAGAGAGCTGGGGCACCCCCAAGGCCAGGAGAGGGTGAGTAGGGTTTCAGAGTGCTTGGCATCCCAATCTCACCCAGCGCTGTTTTCTTTCCTTAGCTGTCTGTCTGTCTGGCTGTCATGAGCAGAATGGGTACTGCAGCAAGCCAGCGGAGTGCATGTGAGTAGAGGACAGGAAGTGGTGAGAGGGGAGCCATCCCCTGGCTAGGCCCTCACCTCACCCTCAGCCTCCCTTTTTCCCCACAGCTGCCGCCCAGGCTGGCAGGGCCGCCTATGCAACGAATGCATCCCCCACAATGGCTGTCGCCACGGCACCTGCAACACCCCCTGGCAATGTACCTGTGACGAGGGCTGGGGAGGGCTATTCTGTGACCAAGGTGAGTCAGGGCAAAGAGAGGATGCAGAGGGGATGGGAGAGATGGGCTGGGAGGCAGACTTGTCACCTGGACCCTTCTTACCTGGTGATCGCTGCATTGGCTTTCCCATTATCCTTCAAGGGGCTTGAAACTTTTAAGGATCTTTACAACTGGCCTAGAACGAGATGGTGGATCCTTCTTCCTCAGGTGCTGGGGAGATAGGGTGGCTGTAGAAGCCAAGAGGGTGATAAGTTGGCAGCTTGGAGGTTGCACCCATAAATTCCAGCAAGGCCAAAGAGAGAGGGATGCCGGGCTCAGTTCCTCTTTCTACCTCGTAGTTACCTATTAACCCCCTAAGTGTTTGCTTACCTGCCAGGGCTGTTTGAGCAGCTCTCCCCTAAACAGCTGTCTGGTTGGGTGTGCCCACCGTCTGCCCCAAGGCTGCAGGTGAGCGGGGCCTCTGGGCGGAGTGACATCTAACCGACTTCTCTTGGTGTGGGCAGAAACAGCCTCCCTTGTTCTTCCCTGGTTGCACTTGCCAGGCAGCTGCCAGAGCCCACGGTGTCTCTTCCTGGTGTTTGTTGAGGCTGGTCCCTCTTCTGGCTGCACGGGGGTCTGCCAGCCCCAACCGTGGGGGAGGGAGCCTTTTCTCTTTCATCCTGGTAGCCAGCTGCAGTGTGTGCCTGCCATTTTCAGGGTCAAATGGGGTGGTTGCTGCCATGGAGACTCCAGCACAGGCCTGGGTTGGGTGGGCATGGGGCTTGCCAGGATAGAAAGAACTTGCCTAGAAGACTCGCTGGCAACAAGGGGCTTGGAATTCAGCCTCTGTATTCCATGTGTGTGTGGGTGTGTGCGCGCGCGTGCACGTGTGTGTATCTGTGTGACTTTCTCTCGCCACCTCCCAAACACACACACGCACACCTGGTTCCTGTCCATTTTCTTTCCCCTCCCCACGTTTGCTCCCAGGTGACACAGTCATATACTCATGCAAACACAGCCTTCATGGTCCCTATATTTGCTCTGTCTGGTTCTCCTTCTCTGTCCTTCCCAAATAAGAAAACAAATACTTATATTTAAAAATACCCTCATAATACATTCTCCTTTAAAAAATGCCTGGTCACTACGTATGGTGGCTTTTGCCTCCCCTCTGCCATTTCCACCTGTTAAAATTATATCCCTCCTTCTCGGCTTATGCCAGCTGTGCCTCTCCCATGAAGCCTTTACTGACTTTTACTTTGACACGTGGCCTTGCTATCCACTCCTCTTCCTTACCTTCCTTCTACCCTGGCGGCCAGAGTTTGTGAGCTTACCTGTCAGGCAGTTGTCCAACTGTGTTTTTTCAACTTTGATCAATGGCGCTGGTCAGTTGTGGTTCAAGGTGCTTCAATATACATGATTTCATTGGCAGAGGAGGAAGGATATTTGGGCCCAGAAGACTTTGAAGTGAACTTGCACTACAAGGAGCCTGGAGGGGGGACCATTCTCTAGCTCTGCTCAGCTGGTTGGTTCCTGTCTCTGCAGATCTCAACTACTGCACCCACCACTCCCCGTGCAAGAACGGGGCGACG